CAACAACTATTCTCTCCTTCATTCAACATCACAGTCGACTACTCGTCTTTGCAAAATACACATATGAAGAAAACAGTATGATGTTTATTCATCTCAAATAAGTAAGTTTAGTTCATTATTTAAAAAACTGAATTACAATGAAATAGTATTCTCTTATTCATTGCTCTTTTCTTTTACTCATATAAATATACGAAGAAAACGATACATTCCATTGAGTTGAACTGTCATTATATAAAAAGAAAAGAATTGATAGAATTTCACACTCATTTGAATCACTTTCAACTTATAGTTCTATATGTCAATTTCCTTTATTTGTTCTATACTAATCAGACAGATTCATACATTCTTTTTTTTGTAAAAATTTGACGTGATAGCGGAAATACATTCGTTTTCCTTTGCCGCATCATTTTCTATACATAACGTCGTATGTTACTTTTCCTCGGTTCACCTCTTGTCATTTCAAATCATGAGCCGGAACGCTTGATGCCGTGCGTGTATGTAGCTCGAAGTAGTAGTAGTAGTTGTTACGAATGAATAAGAAAAAAGAAAAAGAAAAGGAAGTTGTTACGGTGGAAATGAAAGAAAACACTTATACCGACATAAATCGGTGCAAGAGAGACATGATGGACAATTTAGAGACATACAAAACCTTTCTCTTTATGAGGGGTGTTGCTCACTTAGTTGCATTTAATCACTTTACTCGTCGTCACACTTGAAAGAGAAGAGCTTTTACGTTATTCTTTAAGAGAAAGAGAATGAGAGAGAGAGAGAGAATAGAAAAAAAAAGAAAAGGTATTTTTACAAACATAGATGAGAACTACACTTGAAAAAAAAACGATGGTTGACTCAAATTTGATGGATTCATCAAGTGAGACATTGTTCAAAAATGAATGTTTAGTAAAGCAGTAAAAAAAAGAAACGACAAAGGTAAGACAGGTGCACATCGATAGAAGACAATTTACATGTTAGTTTACTTTTCTATTTCGATTTACTATTTGACTATCCATAAATTTAAAGAATACGTCAACTAATTAGACATACAAAAAGAAAAGGTAAGGTAAGGTAAGTAAAAATAAATGTCCAAATATCTAATTATGAGACTTCACACTATATCACATTTGATTTTTCTTTAAATCAACATTTCAGTTTTTTTTCTTTTACTACTACTTTCTTATTCATATATTTAACATTTATTCATTTGCAGAAAAACATACATACACCGTTCATTATTGAGATGTATCTTTACTGAGCGGTTGATTTTAAAATATTCCGCTTAGTATCGTTGCATCTTCAACAATCTGATTCGGTATAATCAATTAAACGATTTATATATCAATATGATTTTTAAGACAATGATTGCCTGATACAGTTCATTTACATATTTCTTTGATGTGCAAATAAATAATAATATGAATAATGAAATTTTAAGTGAACGACTATGTCTATTATTAAAAAAAAGCTACTATAAAATAAGACACGTCACATTCCAAAAGTACACTATTGCTTTTTATTATTTTAGTTGACAAGAAATCAAACAATTACTATTTTCTCTAATAAGACAAATATTTTACAAAAGATGAATGAATAATAAATTCTTAATTTAGTAAATGCAATTTCAGAAAAGAAAAATGATATCTCTAGAAAACATCTTAACATTGTCTCATTACACTAAAATATATTCTCATCATATTAATACTAGCAGATTGACGACGACCAATATTAACTAAAAGCATTTTATTAAAGATTTATGTATGACATATATATAATTACAAACTTCAGTGAAATTATAATAATAATAACTTAAATGACTTGAGAATATTTCTCATTTGTAATATCACATATACCAAGAATCAAGTTTAAACAATGATTTGAATAGCTTTATGCAACTGACGAATTTATGTAGTGAAATCAAATATTTTCAAAGAGCAAATATCAAATTGAATATAATTCTCTTCGGCAATAATGAAATATAATGCTACTATTGATCTTACTACAGACATAAATATTTCTTTTACCTTCGATAGTTAAATTTAAAACCTATCGAAAATAGTAAACAGAAAAATACCATGCTTCTTAAATAAACATTGCAAGTACTTTCCTGTAAAATTCTTTACATTGATTGTAGAATAACATTTTCTTTTGATCTGTGAATGTATAAATATTAAAAATTTAATTACCGCTACCATATTTAAACTTATTTATTTATTCATATAGAAGAAGTCTGATCAGATCAGTTATGACATAAGAATTTCTTTTTTTTTTAAGATAAAAATAGAAATTTATACGCAAAAATCATACAGTTTAAAATCCTAATGGATGTACAGGTACAGTTGATTCTTTTTCGACAATTTCTTTTGCTAATTCACTCATTAATTTTGTCCGTGTAATAAAAGCTGAGCTTTGAACAAGATTGATATTATTATTAATTCTATCATAAGCTTCTTCACACCAAATTCGAACTAAATTAGCTTCATGTACAGCTGATGGTACTTGATTTTGAAATGATTGCGTACAACGTGATAAACTTGCTGCCATTGAATATAAATCAATAGCCATATCTCCAATACGATAAACAATAAATTGTTCATCTCGAATTGTTTTTCCATGTTTAATAAGAATTTGTTCAACCATTGCTCCAAAATTATCAATTGATTTCGATAAAAGTACACCGGATGATTGAAGTGATGAATGTATATGTTCATTTATATTTGGACCTGATGACATACCCATATTACGACGTAAACGTTTTGAACTTTCTCCAACAATAACATTAAAATTAAAGCTTTTAACAGCTTTTTGTAATTCACGTAAATGTAAACCAACATATTGTAAGCCAGTAAAAGCAACAAATAAACGAAGAATATCATTCGCACCTTCGAAAATTCGAAAGATACGTAAATCACGCATAACTCGTTCAAGACCTGTTGCTTTCATAAAGCCCATTCCACCATGAATTTGAATTGCTTCATCAAGTACAAACCATGCAGATTCTGATGCAAACATTTTACCAATTGCTGCTTCACCTATTTATTAAATAAAAAATTACATAAAATTAATAAGAAAACAAAAGATTTCTTACATTGATATTCAGGAATTCCTCGATCCATATTTTGTGCCAAAAGAAATGCAAGACTTTCAGTAACATACTGTCGCATTTCCATACGAACAAGTTTCTCTTGAACATTACCATATGTATCAATTGTACGACCAAATTGCTTACGATTTTTAGCAAAATCCTAAATATTTTTTTTTGTAACAAATTTTTTATTAAATGTCTCTAAACTTACAATCGATTTTCTTATAGCCATTTTCATTGTTCCTGATAAAGCAGCAACCATACCAAATCGTCCATTATTTAAAATATTCATTGCAACCTTTAAAAAAAATTTTTACGATTGAAATCAATTATTTTTCTCTTACTTTAAAGCCATTACCAACTCCACCAAGAACATTCTCAATAGGAACTTTACAATCTTCAAAATAAACTTCTGTTGTATTTGATGCTTTGATACCCATCTTTTTTTCAGGTGCACCATTTGTAACACCACCAAATTTTCTTTCAACGATAAATGCTGTTATTTTATTTTTTGTTTGACCTGTTTTATCATCAACAACTGGTGTTTGTGCAAATACAGTAAATATTTCAGCAATACCACCATTAGATATCCAAATCTTTGAACCATTTAATATATAATGTTTACCATCAGGTGAAAGTTCTGCTCTTGTTTTAATTGAAGCAGCATCACTACCCGCTAGAATACATTAGAATATGAATTATCTAGATGATTCAAGTTCTATAGAATGATCATACCTGATGGTTCTGTAAGAGCAAATGCTGCAATATTTTCTCCTGCAGCTAATTTTGGTAAATATTTTTGTTTTTGTTCATCAGTACCACATAAAAGAATGCCTTTAAAACCAATCGATTGATGAGCACCAACACAAATTGAAACAGCTAAATCTTGAGCGCCAACAACTTCAAAAAGACGTGCTGCTTGTGTATTTATTAAACCAAGACCACCAAGTTCTACAGGTACTTGAATACCAAAAGCACCTTGTTCTTTTAAACCATTCATAACATCATCAGGAATCTATAAGCAAAGTGTTATTTTTTAAATAAAAATTAATCTCATAGACAAAATATACTTTTTCAAGTTGATCATTTTTTGCTGGATCATTTTTTTCTTCGAAAAATTTCGATATTGGATCTATTAACATTTTAATATTATCTTTTTGTTCTTCATTAAGTACATTCGGATATGGAAATACTTCATTCGGCGAAAATTGACCACGAAATAGATTCATTACAAATGAATTTGATGTTCGCGCTTGTTTATCAACTTTTTCATTCGGGGTTGATGATGTTGCTTCAAGACGAGCTTTTTGAGTTTTTACATGTTCTTTACTTTCTTTCGATTGTGGTCTTTGTTCATTTATTAATGATTCAGGTGTTACCGGTGATGCTGCTTTAGGTGCAGTTGCTGCAGTTCGATAAATTATCGATCGATTAACTAATAATAAACATGACGGAATACGTCGACTAATTAATGTTGAAGTCATTATCTGAAATATAACTTTCACAATGTTTTATCTTGCTTAACGTATAACAATAGAATGAAGAGAAAAAAAACGGAAGCAAATAACAAGTTGTATTTTTTTACGATAATGCGTACAGAATGAAAAAAAGTACGCATACATACCTATAGGTCATATAGAACGTAGTAGCAAAGTCCATTCTATATGACATTTTTGTGGACTTTAAACATTCTCGTTTACGGGTACTTGTTTTTTACTTTGTTTTTTTTTTTCGTTTTTCTTCTTGTTCTTCAATTCGTTGATTTTTACGTTTATAATATGAACTATCACCAGGATCTCCGCGACTTTTAAATAATTGTTTAAATATAATTTCAAGTGAATTTATATTATTTATTAAATTAAATTCTTCTCGAGCTAATATTGTACTAATTGATTTATTATTCTCTTCAAAATATTCATTTTTATCACATGAAAGTATTGAAATAATATTCACTTTAAGTAGTGTGTTACTATCAAATAGAATATATAAATCCGTCGGATTTTTTGATGAAAAACAATAATCAATAATTGTACCATGAGTTGAATTAAATGTTATTTTACGTTGTTCATTATTGGAATTTTTAAGATTTGATAATGTTGTTAAATAGATCGAATGAGTTCGTGATGCATAAATTGATAAAGCAATAAAAACATCCGATGTTGTTGATGTAATATCCATTTTCCATATGGAATGATTAATTGAGAGAGATTGATTATCATCAATATTCGATGATTGTTCATAGAATATTTGTTTAGCGGATGATGTAAATATTTTTGAATCAAATACATTCAGTTCTACACAATCAGGTAAATGCCAAAGACGTAATGTACCTTAAAAACGAAAAATTTTGTTTTTTTCATATAATATAAAAAACTACGAACCATCGCCTGAAGCTGAAAGAATATGATTTTGATCAATTAATTTCACATGTGAAACGAATTCTGTATGTCCGAGACAGTAACCTTGAATATTATAAGCATTTGGATAATGACTTAAACGAATTTTTTCATCTCGATCAGCTGTTAATATAAATGGTTGATTGTCATTAGTTCGAATAAAAGCAATATCAAGTAACATTGATAAATGTCCCATCATACAATCATCTGGTGTAAGAATGAGATTAGTATTATTTGATAAATCAGTTTTGTAAACATCACCACTTTTATCAGCTATAAGAAGAAATTCATTTGTTAAATCAAAAGCAGATGCACGTTTTATAACAGTTATTATTCGTTGCAATTGCCAATATGTCTTATCATTATTAGATGGAATATAGATATATATTTGTTTATTTTGTCCATTAATAGCTAATTTTTGTCCATCGGGTGTAAATTTAATTAGATTACGATTAAGATCACTAGTGTTATCATCATCATTGTCTTGTGTTTTTTGTTTAGTACCAGTCGCTTCTTTTGGTTTATCATTAGTTATTGTTTCAGGTTTGAGATATTGCCATTGTTGTGTATCATTTAAATTGAACACCATAGCAGCACCATTTTGTAGAGAAATAGCAAGCCAATTGGTAGAACTAATTGTTAATTCAGACATATCTATAATAAGTCTTGTAAAAGTATGATTCAAGCAATAGTAACCTATACATTAGTCATTCATAATATTAACATTATAATCCATTGCACTCAATATAGTAGAATATTTATCACGGCTGACTGCGGGATCTCACCACGCGAAATTAGCAAGACTTGCTAATTCATTATGTCATCATCTCGCTACTTCGTTATTTTGTTCTGCGCCCACACCCTTTATACATAGAGCAGAAATCATTGAAGATAAATCCAGTCTATATATGTACGTCGCATTGAAGTTCTTCTCAGAAGCGTGAAACTATAATATTTACTGATTGTAATTCTCATATATCTACTTCCGTTTTCAATTTTTCTTGAATAAAACTATGTGGCGAGTACAATCCGCATATATTATAGTTTCACTCTTCTGAAAAGAACTCGATACACATCTTATAACCAATGTGAATTATAAAATAAGAATCTAAAATAGAAAAATCTATTATTTAATTTAATTATATTTAAAATTTAAATTTAAATAAAACAAAATATTCATTTCTATTTTTTTTTATTTTTTTGTTAAATAACCGGAAAATCGATGAATTTAAAATCATCAAAATGACTATGATGATATTCTTGACTACTATTTTGAAAATCATTATCTGATAAAACATATGTTTCAATATCATTCATGTTTATTTCATTTAATAATTGATAATTTTCAGTTGTACTAACAATTGGTTCACATAAAACTTTTGTTATTTGTTCATCAATTAAAATTTCTTTATTTTGTTGATTATTAATAGTTATTTCATATTCCGTACCAGATTCTAATACATCTTTTTTCTTAATTACTACATCTAATTTATGTTTTTCCTTCATATGTATACGTAATTTCGATGCATGAAAAAATTCTTTTGTACATAACCAACAAACAAATGGCTATAGAAAGAAAAGAAAATTAATCAAAAAACAAATTTTATGTTTCGAAATCAAACCTTATAATCAGCATGAATGACTAAATGTTTACGTAAATCATCATTACAACGAAATGTTGCTTGACATCGATCACATACATATGGTCGTTCATCAAGATGACCACGTATATGTACTTCAAGTTTGCATGGTGCAATAAAAGTTTTCTTACAATACGGACATGCATATGGACTAATACCTAGATGTCGTTGTATATGATGTCGTAAATTTCCCCATTGAGAAAACTTTGAACCACAAAAATCACATGAAAATGGTTTATCTATTTATAGAAACAACTTCGATTTTTTTAATATTTTTTAATGAAAAAAACAGACCTTGTGTATGTACACGTTGATGTTTTCTTAAAGCATGAACTGATGAGAATGTTGCTTTACATTTTGGACAACTTAATGATGAAGTTTTCTTTTCAAATTTATAAGCTTCTAAATGTAATATTTGTCCGTGTTGATTAATATGTTTTTGTAAACGTTCCATTGAAACAGTTATTAGACCACATATAGGACATGTTAATCGAATTGATTTCGGTCCACGTATATGAAGATTCTTAGTATGAGATGCGAGTTTTTCTTGATTAAATTTTGCTAAATTTACTAATTCATTATTATTTAATCGTTTCATTTGTACAATAGAATTTTTAATTAATGAATATGCAAGAATATAATCATTAGAATTTAACATATTAAAATGTGTTGGAATTGATGATGATGATGGAATTGATTCATTTAAATATATTTCATCAACATTTGACAACATTTTATTATTACATATAGATGTAGACAATATTCATGAATCCGTATATAGACATGTTCTGTTTTCTTCATTGATAATTTTATTGGAGAATATAGATTTATTCGATAGATGCCATACTGGATCGAAAGATTTTCATAAGAAATTTACTAATAGAACTTTTTTCAAGTTGAATTAGAAAAATATTTGAATTTATTCACGATTTCAAATTTTATATTTATTCAAAAGGCGATACTTAGCGTCCTCTATCAAAGATTAACCTAATTGAACATATTTACCAGTCATTAACAAAATAAAAACTATTCTTTTAACTTTTACAATTAATTCTTGTTATCAAATATAATAATGTTTAAAAAGTTAAAAGATAACTTAGCTACACAAGTTAATAAAACAAATCAAACATTGTTTGCATCAATTCTACCAACAGATTCTGTATGTTTGCAAGGACGTTTTAATCATATTTATTTTCTATTTGCAAACTAATTAGATATTATCAACAAGAGATTCAAATAATCGTACATCTTCAATTGCCAGTCATGATGAACATGTAAAAATCTAAAATTTTCTATTCCGAGAAAAAATTTTTTTCATTTTATTTCTCCAGGAGAATAGTCGTTCTCGATTAGATTCTGCTTCAAGTGATATTAGTCAAACAACAGGTAGTAGCACAAGCTATGCTTCTCCACCACGTCAATTTGTACCACCATCAGATATTGAATCTGAATATGGTGGTGATGAAAGTGATCATGAAACCAATAATGTAAATTTTAATTTTATATATTCTTTTGCTTTTTGATCAATAAATATTTCTCTTTTATAGAAAATGCAAAAGTTACTCAGTATTTATAAAAATAAATTTTCTCAATTAAAACATGCTTATGATGAAGTTGAACGTGAAAAAGACAATCTAAAAGTATAAAAGGAATATAGTCTTTTATTTTATAATTTTTTTTGTATTTGAAGAATGTTTTACAACAACAACAAGATACACACATTAAACACCGAGAAGCTTTACGTAAAAAATTGAAACAAGAACAACAGGCTAGAGAACAAATAGAAAGTATATATTTAAAAGAAATTAAATTACGTGATAGCAAAATTGAAGAATTTACTCAACAAGTATGATTTTAAAGTGATGGTAACTGATAAACTAAATCATTCTTTTTAGCTTACGGAACATGAAAAATTTGTTGAATCGCTTCAAGGAGAAATTAAATTACGTGATAGTAAAATTGAACAATTTACTCAGCAAGTATGATTTTAAAATAATCGTAACTGATAATTCAAATTATTCTTTTTAGTTTGCGGAACATGAAAAACTTGTTCAATCACTTAAAGGAGAAAATGAAACGCTTCGTGAACAGGTGAGATACTATGTCTTGTAATAAAATCTCATAGAAATTTATGAGTGAGATTAGAATGAGGTATATGATCATGATTTTAGAAATAATTCGTTGAGAAGAAAGTCGATCGATTTAGGTTTTAAAGAATGTGAAGTAATCCGGAAAATTAAAATCGGGAAAAAAATAAACTATCTCGAAAGATTTTGTGATGCGGATGTGAAAGAAGAGTAGTCCATACCTATACATCCACACCTACCCACTGGCATCCATCCACATACATACCCTGAACACCCGCTGCTGCTACAACGACGACATCGATCGTGCTGAGCTTCTCGATGAACTCTCACTACTGGTGACTTCAGAGAATTAACTATATTAGATTCTCTCTAATATGTCCGCACCTTTTACTTGTTGTATCTTCTATGATTAATAAACTTGAAGTAAAATTTTTTCGGAATCCTTGACAACACCTATTTCGTACAAAAGATGTTTGTCAGTCGTCAAAAGTCTGTTTAATACACTATATATACAAAATTGAAGCGGACCTTATTAAAATCTCTTTTGTCAATATTACATTTTACCTAGGGATAGAACAAATATGACTGAATACAATATATTTCAAATTAAATCGTAGAACTAAATCAAGTAGTTATATATTCTTTTTTTGTAGAATACTAAACGTGGTACATTACTTGCTGAATGTAAACAAAAAATAGATGCTCATACTGAAAAACGAAATGATTTAGTAACAGAACGTGATAATCTTCTACAACAATTAAATGAAAAACAAACAATTATTGAAACAATGATGAAGGTATGTTTCTTTGTCAATCTAAGAACTATAATTGTAATTGTATCTTGAAAAAAACAATGAAGTTATAGGAGTATATGAAAAAAGGAAGACAAATAGACTTCTAATATATCTTTTTACAGGGAAAAATCAAAAGTAAGAAAAGTATTTGATTATTTGTTTGGTAAGTGGGAATGCGAAATAAAATTATCCAGTTGAAAGTGTTTCGTATGTTTTTTCATGTTGTCTATCTTGTATTTCAAAATAATAGAAATTAATATTTTATAATATACAGAAGTATGGAAATGAATATTTTTAATTTTAGAATCAACCAGCTGAAGATATATCAGTAGAATCACTTAAAACTAACGAAAATGTCGATGTAGAACGTTTACAAGAACAATTAGAATCAACAAATATTCGTGTTCAACAACTTGAAGCCGATCTTGAATTAGCAAAACAACAACAGCAACCGATCAAGTCTAATTCCGATGAATATCAACAAAAATATGAAGATTTATTAATAAAATTCAATGAAATTTCACTTAATAATGAGCAAATACTTAATGATAAATTAACTTTTGAACAATCAAATAAAGAATTTCAAGAATCACTTCTCAAAGATAAACAACAAATTGAAGAACTTACTACCGAAATTGCAATACTTAAAAATAGTCTATCTACAGAAAATGAGACACATCTCAAATCATACGAAGCACTTACTACTGAATATAAAAATTTAAAAAATGAATTAGATCAAATGGCTCAGGAACGAACAATGTATAAAGATAAATATGAAAATACAGGTTAATAAAAATACACAGAAGAATTTATTAAGATATTAATTATCTCTTTTTCTATTAGATAATGCAACCGATCAAATAAATACTACTCTTACTAAATTAGAACATGATTATAGAGAATCTACGGTAAAATGTACTCAATTAACTGAAAAACTTAATACTCAACATCAAGAACATTTAGAAGAACTTGCTAAGCTTAATAATCAACAACAAATTGAATTGAACAATAAATTAAAAGAATTACAAGAAGAAAATAATCGTATTATATTAGAAAAAGAAAATCAACATAAAAAAGCAATTGAAATATTAAAAATGGAGATTGTGAATACTGAAAAAGAACAAAATTCTGAAGATGAAAATAAATTTCAAACTGAAATTAAAAGATTACAAGAGGAAATAACTAATCTATCGTTACAAATCAATCAACAGAAAAAAGAATTAGAAGAAAAATCTTTTCAAATTAAAGAATTTGAAAAATTAAAAAACGAATCAACTTTATCTCAAATAGAATTAATCGATGAATGTAATTCATTAAAAGAACAAAATAAACAAATAACAATATTACAGCAAGAACTTGATGAGAAAAAGATGTACATTCAAAGTATTGAACATCAACTTGAAGAAAAACAAAATGATAGCACGACTATTGAACAATTGAAAGCAACTATTAAAGAACATGAACAAAATATTCAAACAAATCAAGCTAATAATCAACATTTACTTGAACAAAAAGATAAAGAGGTTTTTTAAATTTTATTTTATTATTGAGAAAATAAATAATAATGTTTCCTAAGTTCAAAATACGTACACTAAAATTTGAATCAGGACTATATTCTTAAAATTTTCATGAAGGTTCTGAATTCTTATTTTTTTTGCTATTTCATAGAGAACCGGAACGATGAGCACACGAGTATCTGAGTGTAGGTGAGGACGCTGGTCTAGAAAAGATACCATCGATAGATTCCTGTACCCATGTTGCTTCATATTTGCCTTGACTTTCTTTGTTATCGTCGATATTACGGACCTAAACACTCGTGTGCTCATCGTTTACTGACCCTATTTCATATCATCTATCATTAGATTTTATCTTTAATCATAGTTTATCAACAATATGATTTTTAAACCCAAAATTAGGGTTGCTAGATTTTTCGATATGGCAGGAAAGATTCTTCTTAGTTTTTTGAATATTTGAGTATAACTAATTACTACATGTATACTGCGCCATGTTGGTTCTCCTGTAGCTATTGGTTAGGTCCGTGTCATAACCCTATTGATAGATGCTTGAGGGTACTAATAGTTCTTCCTTCAACGAAACTGGCATTCCGTGTAGACAAAATGTTTCATTGTTGAATCTCAAGCAACTATTTTTCTCGGTTACGTAGCTTTTTGAAAAGAATTCAAACGGAAAAACCGTCGCGATACCCAATGAATATTAATTTTTTCCTGTGTATTTAATAGTTTGTCTTCTGTATTGATAAGTCCGAGACCAACTGACTTATACAGTGTTTCTGATGAGGGTTGAATTACAGGATAATACATTTTGTATTAGTGGAAGAAAATCTAACGGAAGTTAATCATTAAAAAAAGTACTTTTCGATCTAACAGTCCTGGTTATAATCTTCACCTATAATACTCGTATATTTATTTACTTTTCTTTTTTCTATTGAATAGATTGATGCACTCAAACAAAATCTTTCGAATCAGCAATCGTTATATGATTCTTTGACAAAAGAAAATCAACAAATAGTCGAAGATTTGAATAAACAAAAATTAATAATCAATGAAATTGATAATATTCAACAACAATTAATTTCTCAACAGTCTCAAATTAATGAAAAAGATGAACAACTATCAATACTCAAAACTAAACTTGATGAACAACAAGATTACAATAAAAAATATTCCGAATTAGAAATTAAATTGAATAATATTCTTTCTGAAAAAGCTATTCTTGAAAATGAATTAGATAGCACACGTATTCAAATTCAAACTACTCAATCAGCATTAAACGAAACAACAAATGTTAATATGAAACAAACTGAAGAAAAAATCAAAGAACTTGAGGTTAATTTCTACAGTTCATTCTTAATATCATAATTTAATACTAAGCTTCGTTTATCTTTTTAGACCCAATGTGATTCGTACCAAAATGAAATTGAAACATTAAAAAGTGAAATTGTTTCATTAGTAAACATTAACGAAGAAAATACTCGTCGAATTGATGAATTTGATGATGAAAAATTTAATTTTGAACAAGAAATTATTGAAAAAAATCGACAAATAACAGAATCGAATGAAAAAATTGAAGAACTTGAATCAAATCTTAAACAAGCACAAGAAACAGGAGCTAAATTACGTAAAGCATTACAGAAAATGAAAGATTCAATAACTAATAAAGAACAAACAAATAACCCAGATACAGGTAGAATTTTTCCATTTTTTTTTATAAAAATTATAAATCTATTTATTTAGAAATTCAATTACAAAAAGTGACTGATGAATATGAACAACGATTAAAAGAACAAGAGAAAGAATATAATACAAGATTAAAATTAATGGCAAAAGAAATGAATGTACAAATTGAAGATAAAGAACAAACTTATAATCGACAATTAAATGAATACATTCGTACGTTTTATTAAATAAAACAAAAAAATGATTATTATTTTTCTTTTCTTATCAGAAAGAAGTCGTAAAAATGAAAATGATCTTGTTCATTCATCAGAACAACAAGTAACCAGTGCTGAAGAACGAGCACTAAACGCTGAAAGAGAAATGTCAAAATTGCAAGAACAATTAAAAGTTTGTTTAATAATTAGATTAACTAGTTAAATAGAGTATATTTTCATAGGAGAAACAATTAGAAAATTATCGAACTGTACAAGATCTACAAAATCAAATACAAAAGCTTATAAGACAAACTCCTGAGTATGTTTTTACGAAATAAATTCAAAGAATAAAGTCTTATTTTTTTTAGAACAATAAATGATGCCACTCAAACTTCAATGGAAGGTAAAGAATTTTCCTAAAGTATTAGGCTTACGGTCCCATTACCAATTGGTGAAGTTTCATAAGGTGCATTGGCGAAAATGCTAGTCAATGACAATCGGGAGTCGCAATTATTACATATTTAGAATTCTAGTCTCGACTAATAATCAATACGGTGCATAGTTAATTTTTTACATAGGTTTCCTATGCAGAGGTTGGCAAGTATGGACTTCCTAAGCAGACAAAAAACTGGAAAAACGCGTTTAAACGCTTAATCGGGAACCGCGATTGTAACCCATTCACGCTTAATAATACAAAGCCATAAACGGCGTTTTGAACGTAACATCACCGCCTTTATAACGTTGAAAAACTCATATTTTTAACGCTTAAACGCATGGGTTTCAAACTCTAGAATAAATTTGCGTTTTGATGTTAAAAATATGAGTTTTTCACCGTTTTAACGTTATAAAAGTAGTGATTTTAAGTCCAAAACGCCGTTTATTATTAAGCGTGCATGGGTTACAATCGCGGTTCCCGATTGAGCGTTCAAATGCGTTTTTCCAATTTTTTCTCTGCTTGGGTTTTTCGAGTACTAGTATAAATCCTCCGAGATTTATATACGAATTTCTAAAGTAGTTGCTGAGGAAAATATGCCATACTTATGTCAAAAACAAAATATTCAAAAAAACAGCAATCAAAACTTTTTTCGAATTGCTTTTGTTATTAAGTTTCAGGATAAGAATATGACAACAGATTATTGAAAAGTCTATGAGTTTCTAATACAATGTTGGAGAGTAGGAAACTTTATTTAGAATATCTGTTTCGATGTCAAGACTCGATATCAATCTACTTAATTTTAAAAACTAGACTGATTCTTTTGAAAACAATAGTTTTATTTTAATTGTATATAGATCTTCATCAATCAAATGGTGATCAACATTTGCTTATATTTGAACCAACGGAAGTTGATTATTTGAAGCAAATTGTGCTTGCTTATATGACAGGAACAGATAGAATAGTATGTTTTACATATTTAAAACAACGATATTTATTTATTTTATTAGACAATGGCAAAAGTGATATGTGCTGTTCTTCGTTATACAGATAATGAAACGAGCTTAGTAATAGAACAAGAAAAACTTCGACAATCTGTAAGTTATTCAAATAAATATTATTTAAATTAAATTTGCTTTTGTATATACATAGCGCTGGTTAAAGTCAACGAGATAATATTAATTTAACTCAATCATTCACATCTTATTATTATTAATACAATTTTAATTTTATTTATTGGAACATGGAAATAGAATCTATTAAATTTCGTTATTAAAAAAAGAAAACTAACATTTCTTTTTTTTCTGTTTAAGTTAATAATTTTTTTGTTTTTTATGTTTATCGTTCTTCCCAATTATAAATCTATATTTATACATATCTCTATGCATCATTCTTCAAGATAATTAATCGATATACTACACGCAATATAACAAAAGGATGCTTCTTGGTGAGCGTGATTGAAGATTTAGTGTAGATAATAATATCGTTTTCATTCAATGCTTATCCACTGATGTCTACACGCACGTATAAATTCTATAACTGTAGATAATCTGAATACAAGGTTACAATGAACGACTTCAAGATTAAAGAATTTCAATATAGTATTCATAATAATTTCTGAAATAATTAGAAGTAATTTCATCTTTAGAACAATCTTACAATATGATGGAAAATACCAACGACTATTCCTTGTAAGTATTAATAAAACAGAGCATGTGGCGCCCCTTATTGTTTGGTGATAATTTCAACAAATGGGAATTTTACCTAAATATGTTGCTGAATAAATTTCGAAAGAAATACGGTCATCACCACATACTTATTTGTATCCATCATTTGTTATCGATCACAAGTTGATTATTTAATATGACTGAACCAACTCGTGTTGCTTTCAAACTTGGTGGTTTTAAACGACCTGCTCTGAATAATGTGGCACCAGCAGCTAGTCAATTTGATTCATCGACAACAAGTAATAATGAACAACCCGAACTTCTTATAGGTTTTGATAATGGTGAAATACAAAGTAATGCACCAACTGTTAAAAAAGAAGAACTTGTTATTCCTACTCAACCAAATGCTCATCATAAATTTTTTAAACTTAAAACAAGTCTTCAAAAAACAATTGAATCAAATGAATCTATTAGTCAATTAGATGATGATGCTAGACGTGCACTTATTCTTGAAGCAAAAGATGCTAATGAAAATTGGAATGAACGAAATGAAAATGGAACTATTCGTGTACATACAATTGAACAAGATTCTACAAATACATTTATGACTGATTTAGGAAATGATACAACTGAAATAGAACAAAAAAACGAAGAAGAAAAAGAAGTTGAAAATGCTGATTATGATCAAGTACCTATTGAAGAATTTGGTATGGCTGTTTTACGTGGTATGGGTTATAAAGATGATAGTGGTCTTGGTATAACAAATAAAAAACAAGTTAATGTATTTGTACCTGAAACTCGTCCACGTGGTCTTGGTTTAGGTGCTGATAGAAAAATTTTAGAAAAAATTAATCACTTAAAACGAAGTTTAAAAAAATCTGGTATTGATGAAAAAGATGATTTATGTTTAGAAAAAGGAGCTTGTGTTCTTATTGAAAAAGGTCCTCATCGTGATTTTTATGGTACAGTGGAATCGATTGAAGAAGATGTTGCTCGTATTACAGTATTATTAGCTATTGCTGGTACAAATAAGAAGAAAGAAGTTATTTCAATATCACAATATAATGTTAAATTAGTTACGGAAAAAGAATTTCTTAAATATAGTAAATATGTTAATAAATCCAAAGCTGAACAAGTGGAAAAAGAAACTAGTGATCAATTAATGAAAGATTATAGTCGACGAGATAATGATAATGATACTAAAGAACATAAACATCACCGATCATCACATAAAGATGATGATGATGATGGTTATAAACGTCATCGTTCTTCGAAAAATGATGATTCTGATAGAAAACATCGTCATCATTCATCGAATGGACATCGACATCGTCATGAAGATTCAAGTCGTTCAAGAAAACATTAATTATTTTATTGTTATTTTGTTTTCTATATGTATAATAAATATATACACATATTTTGCTGTTGTAATATACACATACTTTATCAATACTCGATATATTAAAATGCAATTGATCTCAGATGTGAATGATTAATGCATTTAATTATCATTATGTACTCGTTTTTTTATTCAACTAAAATATATTTTCAAAAGATAAAATACATTGATTCTATTCTTCATTTTGAATGGAAAAATGCTTAAGAATATCGTGATTAAAGATGAATCATGATAAGATTTCTTTGTCTTCTATATAGATTACTAATCAAGTAACATCTAATATTAAGAAAACAGTTTTTATATAAAACAAATGCACGCAAATCAACATGAATTTAATAGAGAAAAAGAGTGATATTATACAAACAGACCTGCATAAATATTGTAATGAGAAACAGAATCAAAGAGTCGATCGAAACTAAACAAAGTGATGTAGACCTTAGGGAATGTATGTTATTTATATGATTGGAAAGGTTCTAACATTCACAAGAAAAATATCACCAAATAGAATCTATTATTTTCTTTATTTATTCATTTAGAATTTAAAAGATCAGTTCAATATCTCAAGTATCATAAGAATTTCTATAAATTTTGTTTGTTTTTTGAATATTTACATCAAATTATAAAAAAAAATCGTTTTTTGTTTTTCGTGTATAAATTTATTCGCTTAGAAAAAAAAGAAAAATTAATTCAATAATTTATCATTCACCAGAAAATTGAATATCTTTTTCATAATACTTCGAAAATAATCGAAGAACAATTATGTATCTGTTCTATTTCTCAATAGAGGATATAATAGATGTCTATCAATCAAATAATTGTGACAAGTATAAAACGAAACGGAACTAGTCAAGAGTAAAAATATTGACAAGGAAATAACAAAAATGGTTTCATTATACAGATCATCAGAAAAGCAGTATTGTCATTGTGTTAGAAAAAAATAGAGGAAAGAAAAGAAAAACGTCTTCGCCTTTTCTTTTTACCATACTCTTTGATATTGTGACATTACATTCTCACACAAACAATCTGTCGATACATACAGAAGGTAAAATTTTTGTTTGATTATAGAAATCAATTGAATAATTTGAATATATTTTCTAGTTTTTTTATGGAAACAACAGCGAATTTATCTGATTCAAAAGTTTATAAAAGTAGTTCTTATTTAAATCGATTATTACCAAGACATAAAAATATAAGTGTACCTTCAAATTTGGCACTACAAAGTAAATTGAGTAAATAATTATTTTATAAAAAGAATTGAAATTCATCTTTAGATTCATCGAATAAAACATTTGATTCATCTACAGAATCAATTGAACGACAGTCTACTCCTAGATATGAATTATATAAAGTAAAAATAAATAGAATGATTAAGAACACTTACGAAAAAAAACGTTTTGTTTTATAATTTAGATGCAAAAACAATCATATGAAAATGCAAAAAAAAAGATAACATCTGAATTAGATTATATCCTTAAGGATCCATCTGTTGTTATCGTTAGTGACTGGCTTAAAGTACGAGGAACACTAAGAGATTGGACTAAATTATGGGCAGTCTTAAAACCTGGTCTTATGTTGCTCTATCGCAATCCGCCATCTATGGTATGTTGAATATCAATCTTATTATTTTTGTTTATTATATTCATTAATTTAGGATGGTGTTTGGGTTGGTACTATTGTTTTATCATCATGTGAAGGTAAATTTATTTTGAATAATTAAATAATAAATCTTCATTTATTCTAGTAATGCAACGTCCATCAAAAAGATCAGGTTTTTGTTTTAAAATTTGGCATTTATTAGAAAAATCTATTTGGACACAAAAGGTAGACAACACGTTTTCTTCATAAAGGAAAAGAATTCCATAAAAATAATTAAAAATAAATAATTTTTTACACATCCAGGGTCCAAATAATGAACAATTTGGTGCATTAACATTTCCTTTACCAATAACTTATTTAATTTGTCGAGCATCAGATGAAACAGCAGGTTTATTTTACTTTTCCTCTTTTTTTTTTTAAATAATAAAAGAAAAATACATTCAATTTCAAGGACGTTGTTGGATGGATGCACTTGAATTAACAATGAAATGCTCAAAATTACTTAAAAAACCCTATTCAACCAATGATATTTTTTCAACTACACTAAAAAGTAGTTCTTCAATGTTGTCTAATGATGATAATACAAATATATCTGATAATGAAATTGATTTAACTCGAACTAAAATGAAAGAAGGTTATTAAAATATTAATATAATAAAATAAAAATTAATTTCGATTCTTTATAGAACTTGATCGAATAAGTGATGTAAGTATTGATACAAGTAAACCATCAAGAAGTGATTCAAGTCAATCTGAAACATCACAAGATATAATAAATAATAATGAAAAAAATGAAACACCATATATTCTTGCATTGCCGGAAGAAATGGGTGAAGTGAGATAAAAAAATTCATATTAAATAGAAGAAAATAGTTCTTTTCTTTTCTATTTAGCTTGGTAATGCTGCACAAACAGAAGAAGTAGCTGAAGAAAATAAATCACTTATAATGCATTTATTGAAACAAGTTCGACCTGGAATGGATTTATCAAAAGTTGTTCTACCAACATTTATTTTAGAACCAAGATCATTTCTTGAAAAACTTTCAGATTATTATCATCATTGTGATATTCTTGAAGAGTATGTTTATTTCAAATGCATGATGTTCTGAAAAAAATGATAAGGTCATTGACTATATTTGACTCGAACTAATGATACAAAAAACGTTTTACATAAGATATAAGAAGAGCGAAGAGGTCATGATATTAATGTATAAAACATTTGAGAAAGATCTTTATGACTAGAAGAAAAACATATGTGCAAGATGAAAATTAGTATCGTGCTGATATTTTTTTGTTTCTGCAAATGTTAAGACCGATTACAAATATGTAGCATATAAGTATTTTCTATATAATAAAACAGATAATACAACGTAGACATACTCCCAGAAGAAATAAAAATGATATGAAAAAGAATAGATACGTTTTAAAATGAACTTCCATGAAACAAAGATTGATTTAATGATTTATTTAGAGCTGTTAATTCATCTGATCCATTAGAACGAATGAAAACAATTGTGAAATTTTATCTTTCTGGGTTTTATAAAAAACCAAAGGTTTTAATAAAAAATTAATTTAATCTCTCCTAATTTTCTAATATTAAAGGGTTTAAAAAAACCATATAATCCTGTGCTTGGTGAAGTTTATCGATGTTATTTTCATCATCCAAAAAATGTTAGTAAAACATTTTATTTAGCTGAACAAGTAAATTATTTATTGATTAAATAATAAAAACTTATTAAACTATCTAGATATCACATCATCCACCAATAACGAATTTTTATGTATCAAATCGTCAGGAAGGTTTTTGTGTACAAGGTAGTATTTTAGCAAAATCAAAATTTTATGGTAAAAAATAATCTTTATATATTAGAAATAATTTAATGTAAAAATTTGATTTTATAGGAAATAGTCTTTCAGCTATACTTGATGGAACAGCGCGATTAACTTTACTTAATCTAGGTGAAGATTATATTATTACTATGCCTTATGCAAATTGTAAAGGTATTCTTATCGGTCGATTAACAATGGAATTAGGTGGTAAAGTAACAATTGTTTGTGAAAAAACTCGATATTCAGCTGATATTGAATTTAAATTAAAAGTATAACTAATTTTTATTTTATCTTCTACGAATTTTTATTTTTCTTCAAAGCCATTTATCGGTGGTCAAGAATTAACAAATCTTATAGAAGGAAAAATTCGATTAGAAAAAGATGTTATATATACATTCTCAGGTCATTGGGATGATGAAATCATTCTTACAGATAAAACAACAAATGTAAGTTTAATTTCATTTAAATATGACTGAAGTTTTTGTTTAGGCAAAAAGTATTTTTTGGAAAGTAACACAATTAGTTATGAATTCTCGATTAAAACGTTTTGTTGTGCCAATTGAACAACAACAAGATAATGAATCCGAAAAGTAAGATTTTTGCAAAAGTTAAATAATTTATTAATTCTAAATTTTTATAGATTATGGCAACGTGTTACATCAGCTATTAAACAAAATGATCAAATTTTAGCTACAACAGAAAAAACAATCATCGAAAATGAACAACGTAAACAGACAAATGAACGTAAAGTAACTGGAAATGAATGGCATCCAAAATTATTTTCTATCGATCAAAATACGAAAGAATGGATATACAATCATACTGAGTAAGGGAATTATTTTTACGAGGGAAGCTTCTGAGATGATACCTCCCGTATTCATTCATTCATATCTTATTTAGTTAAGTATATTGAGATGGGGAAAATCCTCTTGCGGATATTTACTATCTTAATATAGCTAACTAAATGAGATATGAATGAGTGAAAACAGGAGGTAGCACCTCAGAAGGTTCCCTCGTTAGATTTATATAAACTTTCTTTTTTTGTTTGTTAGTATTCATCCTTGGGATACTCATAATGATATATCAACATATGAAAATAATTTTATTATTCGTACACGTACTTGTCATCATCGAAATCGATCTCCTACTCATATTCGTTCATTATCTGTTCGTAATTCCCACGAAGAATCATTACAAATTAATCGAAAACAATCATGTGATCATAATCTAACGTCGATATTAAAAAATTTTCAAACAAATTTAATTCAAACCACTGAACGAATTAATTTACATGAACAACAAATACATTATTTACATAATCACCATCATACGCTACATTATCTTTCTCCTTATATTCATTTTATTCTTATTATTTTTGTTGCAATGATATTAAAATATATTTTTCATTAAATGTATCATATGTTGTTTTTGTTTTTTTTTATTTTTTATTGTCAAATAATAGTTTTAAGAATAAATAAAAACAAAATAAAATCACTTCTTAGTAAAATATTTATCATAAATATAAACGCCTATAATCAATACTACAAATATCCATGTGGCATGTATAGCAATACCACTTGGAAACAATTTTTCTGCTTGACGATCAATATTTTCAGTTTCCGTTTGATTTGTTTTATTCCCAGATTTGAGACTTTCAATTCGAGATATTTCTTCTTTATCTTCTTGTTCATCATCATTTGAATTTGTACCGGAACAAACAGAATTATATCCATAGATTTTATCATTACAATTAAATGGCCAAAAATCTCGCATTTCATTTAATACACGTGGATATTTAAACCATTCAAGTGCTTTTTCAATTGAAACAAAATAAACATATCGATGATCGGGACTCTTTGTAATAAATTCAATAAAACGAATCAATGCTTGAAGACGTGTTTGTTTATTTTGAGAAAGCCATGTAAGATCAATTTGAATATTAAATGGTGCTCGACGACCAATAGATAATGATGAATGACGTCTAAAATTATGCATAAGAAAATTATATAGAAGATCAGCTGTATGCGGTTTATCGGTAGGTAAACATGATGAATCAGATAGTGCACGACAAGAAGTATTAGCTAAAAATAACAAAATATTTTAACTCAGTAATCATGTACGAAGGTTTTAGATTGAATTCTTACCCTTTGGATAATTCCATTCGTGTAATGGAAACTGCCAAAGTGCTTCATACGGTTTCGCCCATGTATCACAATTAACACAATTAGTAAAATTAACTGGATAATTAAGTGTAAATGGCCACATTAATTTTGATGCTTTGAATAACATTGATGAGTCATAATGAAATTGAAATTTTTGTAAGAGATCTAAATGTCTATTTTGATCGATTTGTAAATGTGGTACACGAAAACCTTTTATATGCGATTGATCAATTTGTGCTTGATGAACTATATTAATACGTTGTTGTTCGATTTCATGCTGCCAATCTTCATTTGTCCAACGAACCCAATCATTTTCATTATAACAATTTGTTAATGGACATCTTCAAAAAACGAAACAATAAGAGATAAAAAGAAAAGATAATTTTACTTATTGCTTGATGCTGTCATTGCTATTTCATGATGATTATCGAAAAGACGTTGTACTAAACAATATTCTGTATGTAGATCATGAATGAAAAATGTTGATGAAATTGGACATTTATTTGGATTTCGATATGTTGTATTTAAAATTGATCGAATTGGATCGAGAACATTTTTATTTAAATTACCGACAAAAGTTAATAAAACCTTAAAATATTTGTTATTTATATATAAAAGAATTTTAAACGGTAAATATTTACAAATTGAGGTAGTTCAATAACATCGAATGTTGTTGGATTAGCATTACTGACTGGACATTGACAACTAGGTAATAGACAATTTTCAGCAGTGCAAATTTCACTTCGACAAAATGTAAACGAAAATATTAAAAACCAAAAAAATTGTAGGAATAACATCTAAAAGAGATTCATATAAATAAACTATGTATGTCTCAGTTCTAATAGAACAGTTTAAATATAAGATGATGCGTCATCGACTAGAAGATATATGTACATTGTGTGTTATGCGTCAAATAAAAATAAAGAAGGAATAGTTAAAATAATATAATGGAACATGTGTATATATTATATATAAAACGAAAAGTGAAAGAATATAAATAATTTGATAGTTTATCTTTCAACTCATTATAGACCTGTTTTGAAAGAAAATACATTTTAACAACATATTATTTGATCATTTTATATTTTTATTAAACCGATAATCTAAATGTACGATATTATTATAAAACAGATATTAATACATGAAAAAATAACCTTCTTTTTCAAATCAGACTAATTATCGAACTTTTCTTCTGTTAATCTTTCATTTTTTTTAAACAACAAAAGAATAATAAGCCAGAGATTGAACATTCTTTTTTTCTTATTAGTTAAGTTAATTAAAGAAGACACTGTTTTAGGAGAAATAATAATTAATGAATATAACGTAAAAAACTTCCAAGTTTCAATTAATCATTAGTCATCGACAAGCAGTTAAAGTCATCTAGAGCAGTAAAATAAGGCTTTAAATTTGAAGACTTATATAGTTCAACTCAACCAAAAATAAATGATGCTTGTTTTTGCGAAGAAGAAATATCGTCTAATTTGATGTTAGAATGACACGATGCAGCTTGGTGAAGCAAAAATAGTTTCGTTATCTACAAGAAATATGCGTGATGAACTCCTTTGTTTTATGATCAATTCTTGATGTTTTAGCCATCGAAATAGATTATCTTGTGAGATTCTGTAAATTTCCAAACGTCATACTTGATTTACCTATATTAAACAGAGAGCCTTCTGAATACATTACTAATCGCTGGAATCCTTTTAATACAACATTATTGGATACTAAACATTTTCTGATTCAACAATATTAGAAAAGAAACTTTTCTAGTTCACTATCACTATAGAGAATCTTTGAGAATTCTACTATTATCCTACAGAACTTTCAATGCTTCCGCAAAACTGGAAAGACTCCTATATTATTTTTGAATCAACAACATTCACACGAGAGCCATATCAAAAATGCTACAATAATATATCTCTAATGAAAAAAAAGCGAGTTTATTTGTTATTTATGTAAACATCCTAATAAAACAAAAATATTCACATGATCATCACCACTCATACATTCTCCATCAGGCTAAATTTAATATTAGCATCTACGGTTTATTTCGTTGTTGATTGCGTCGAACAAATTGCTTGATTTTACCAAGATCGCCGTATATCATTACCCTTTCAGTCATATGCAGTTCAGTGAGTGTCTAGAAGAAAAATTAGAAGTAAAGACATCATATAGATGAATAAAGGATAAAAACTACCATGTTATCTCGTAATGCATCAGCGAAATATTGTAATCCAACATGCCCGATTTGATTATCACGGAAATCCAGTGTAGTTAGTGTCTAGATGAAAAGTTTAACTAAAAATCTCATAAACATGAAGAAAGAATGGAAATTACCGTATTATGTCGTAATGCATTAGCCAAATGTTGTGCTCCAACATCTTCGATATAATTGCGCCAAAGACATAGTGTGGTAAGTGTCTAGATGCAAAAGGAGACGCAAAATTATGGTACCGGTAAAGAGAGAATGAAAACTACCGTGTTATATCGTAATGCATCGGCTAGATATTGTATTCCGACATCTCCGATTCGATTAAAATCAAGATTCAGTGTAGTAAGTGTCTAGACGAAAAAGTAGACGTAAAGCCATGGTGTTGGTAAAGAGAGATTGATAATTACCCTGTTGTGTCGTAATAAAGCACCTAAATGTTGTGCTCCAACATCTTCGATCTCATTAAATCCAAGAACCAAGGTAGTGAGTGTCTAGATGAAAAAGAAGATGTAAACATATGATGTAGATGAAGAGAGAATAAACGTTACTGTAGTATGTCGTAATGCATCAGCTAAATGTTGTGCTCCAACATCTCCGATTTCATTAGATCGAAGATCCAATGTAGTGAGTGTCTGGATGAAAAAAGAAAATAAGCAGATGATATAAATAAAGAATGAATGAATATTACTGTGGTGTTTCGTAATACGTCGCCCAAATGTTGTGCTTCAACATCTCCGATTTTATTCCAACCGAGAAGTAGTGTGGTAAGTGCCTAGATGAAAAAGTGGAGGTAATGATATAATATAGATATGAAGATACCATAGTGTATGTTTTTTCTTTGACTGCTTATTGCAAAAATGCAGATTGCTCTCATTGTGTTGAAGGGTATGTGGATATGAGTATGAAAGCTTCTATGATCAGACATGTTCTACTATCTTTAAAAAGATCACCTTAAAAGTTTAACAGCAGAGAAGTTAGTGAGAGTAATGACTGTACAGGAATTATTTAACTAGCAGTTCTATTAACTGTGAAATATTTATATGAGATTGAAAAGAAACAGAAAAAGGAAATTATTTTCGTGTTGTCATGATGTAGAAAATGAAGTCTTGAAAAAGATTCTAGTAACCAATAAATTAGTTTGAGTGAGACATAACTTATTCACAAATATTTAATTAAAGTGATTCTACTTAACTATTGATTACAGCAATGAGAAATAATTTGAGAGTCAACAAAAGAAAATAAGATTTTCATGATAAGAACAAGTTTACCTTATATCGATAGTAGCTGACAACGATGCTTTTAAAGCGTTGACACACATGTGTCAGTGAAAGGAGAATCGTATATTTGTCTATATGATCCAGAATTCGGTAGACAAGTTCTATCGGTAACATAAAAATCGGAAAGATACTTTGATTGGACATTGTGAGCTGTTGCTGAAACGTGTGTTGTATGACCTTATGTATGAGTTATATGATATGTTTGGAGGTGTACGCCGATGGGTTAGGCCGCCGCTGCCGGCAGCCGATAAAAATTATATATTTTTGAGCCGCCGTCGCCACTGAGAGAGAAAATTTTTAACATTTCGAGCTGCAGTCGCTGACATCTATCTGAGTGAAAATCAAATTTTCGTTCTTTTACAATGCTCTTTTTCTAACTTGCAATATTCTTAATGATTCTCGGCTGATTTTAATTTGATTTTTTTTAAGTCGCCACCGGCGATCGACTTACATATCTGATAACACAATCGTGGGAGCAACTGTAGTCAACGTTTTCATTATGACTTTTGTTACCGGCATAAAATAGTATACACTAAACACTAACATTGTCTTTTTAATTATAAGCAATGAAGTTTATATGAGGTTGGATGAATATTTTATCTGAGAAATATTGAATCTTTTTCAAATATGATGGTTTATTAGAGTATTTATTCCAAAAAATAGAAATAGAAAACAAGACGTATGGCAACTTTTCTCGAAGGAAACGTAATATTAAAGGTGACAGTGTTAGAAGTATTATTTAATTTGAAATATCAAAACAAATCCTCATTATAGAACCAAAATGTTTTATCGACTATTCGTATAGTTTTATATGTATTTGCTTTTGCTTATATATTGAGTGATTTCGTTTAAATCTTCTATCTTGAGAGCAAGAGTGTTGTTGTATTATACATATCCGATACACCCACACCCACACTCGACCAAACGTTTTCTGATTCAGCAATATTGAAAAAGATACTTTCCTACTTTAGTATCATCGGACACAACCTCATGATTATTTCTACTATCACAGAGAACGCTTTTTAGTTCACTATCATCACAGAGAATCTTTGAGAATTCGGCTAATATCCTGCAGAACTTTTACTCCTGCGACAAAACGGGATAGAATCTGTGAATTTTACGCTTCTCACACAGACTCCTAGGATAGTTCGACTTATCTCGCACAACTACAAAATATTTCACCAAAGAATCCTATACTCTTATTGAACTAACAACACACTCGAGAGCTACATCAAAAATACTAAAGAAACATCATCACAACAGTATATCTCAGATAAAACAAAACAAGTGAGTTTATTTGCTATTTATTTAAATATCATAATACAACACAAATATTCACATGATTATCACCATTTGTACATTCTCCCTCAGACTAAATTTAATGTTAGCATCTACGGCCTGTTTCGTTGTTGATTGAGCCCAGGAAATTTCTTGATTCTCAGTAGATTGCCTTATGCTATTTCCCTTTCATCCATACGCATCGTAGTGAGTGTCTAAAAGAAAAATTAAAAGTAAAGACATCTTGTAGACGAAGGATGAATTAAAACTACTGTATTATGTTGTAATGCATCAACCAAATGTTGTAGTCTAACATTGCTGATTTGATTACCTATGAGGTCTAGTGTAGTTAGTGTCTAGGCGAAAAGTATAGGTAAAAACATCATAAAGGTGAAGAGAGAATGAAAATTACTGTATTATGTTGTAATGCAGCAGCCAAATGTTGTGCTCCAATATCTCTGATTTGATTGTGATATAGATATAGTGCGCTGAGTGTCTATATGAAAATTGTGCGTAAAAACATCATAACTATGACGAGAGAATGAAAATTACCGTATTATGTCGCAATGCATCAGCTAAATATTGTGCTCCAACATCTCCGATCTTACTATATCCAAGATCCAGTTTAGTGAGTGTCTACATGAAAAAGGAGACGCAATGAGATGGTATTGGTAAAGAGAGAATGGGAACTACCCTGTTGTGTCGTAATGCGATTCCCAAGTGTTTTACTCCAATATTTCCGATTTGATTATGATAGAAATGTAGTGTGGTAAGTGTCTAGATGAAAAGTGTACGAAAAAACATTATAAACATAAATAGAGAATGAAAATTACAGTATTATGCCCTAATGCAACAGCCAAATATTCTGCTCCAGCATCCCCGATTTGATTATATCCAAGATTCAGTGTAGTGAGTGTCTAGATGAAAATGTGCAGGAAAATACATGCTATATATGAAGAGAGAATGAAATTTACCGTGTTATGTCGTAATGCATTAGCGAAATATTGTGCTCCAATATCTCCGATCTTATTAAATCCAAGACATAATGTAATGAGTGTCTAGGTGAAAAGTGTAGGTAAAAACATCATAAACTTGAAAAGAGAATGAAAATTACTTTGTTATGTTGTAATGCATCAGCCAGATGTTCTGCTCCGACATGTTCGATTTTATTCCATGCAAGATTCAGTCTAGTGAGTGTCTGGATGAACGGAGAAAATAAACAGGTGATATTAATAAAGAATGAATGACTATTACTGTGTTATTTCGTAGTACATTAGCCAAATGTTGTGCTCCCACATCTCCGACTGGATTCTCTCGAAGATCCAGTGTAGTGAATGTCTAGATGAAAAATATTAGTTTAAGTGAGACATAATCTATCTAGATATATTTTATTCAAGTGATTCTACTTAACTATCGGTTATAGGAATGGAAAATAATTAGATTTTCATGATGACAAACAAGTTTACCTGATATCGATCATAGGTGTCAATGATGTTGTTGAATCGTTGACAAACATTTCTCATTGAAAGAAGAATTGTAGTTTCGTCTTGATGATCCAGAATTCGGTAGACAAGTTCTACTGGTAACATAAGAAACGTAGTGATACTTTGATTGGACATTGTAAACTACTGCTGAAATATGTGTTGTATAATCTTTTGTATGAGTTATATAATATGTTTAGAGGCGTAAGCGGATCGGTCAGGCGGCCGCCGCCGTCGACAGACGAAAAATATTGTATATTTTGACACGCGACCGCCAGTAAGCGAGAAAATTTTTCAAAATTTCGAGCTTCACTCGCTGACATCTATATGAGTGAAAATCAAAATTTTCGTTCTTTTATAATGATCTTTATTTAAGTTGCACTATTGTTAATAATTATCTACTAATCTTAATTAGATTTTTGCGTTTTGTGTTGTACATAGAATATGAAAGAATGTAGCAGTTGTTGTTTATACTTTTTTTGAACAAATTATTAGTAGTATATTGAAACAAATATAGTTTTTTCAATCTGACAACAAATTTTCTTTTCGTAAATGTTCTAGCCGCCACCACCGATCAACTAATCGACTTTCACCTCTAATAACTGAATCGTGAGAATACCTGTAGTCAATGTTTTCATTATGAGTTTTGTTAATGACATAAAATGGTATACACTAGATATAAATATTGTATTCTTAGTTATAATCAGTGAAGTCTATATGAGACTAAATGAGTATTTTGGTTTGAGTTATGGAATCTTTTTCAAATACGATTGATTATAAAAGTTTTTATTTTACACAGTAAAAGTTTGGAAACAAAACGTATGCCTACTTTTGTCGAAGGAAAAACAATATGAAAAGTGAAAGTGTTACAAATTCTGTTTAGTATGAAATATTAAAACAAATCTTCATTAAAGAACCAAAATTTTGTATCAATTATTGGTATAGTTTTATATATATTTGTTTTTGATTATACGCTGCGAATAATTTCGTTTAAATCTTCTATCTTGAGAGTACGAGTATTGCTGTATCATACCTATTCTATAAAATCACACCCTCAAGATGCTTCGGCAAAACTGGAAAGAATCTGTGAATTTTACGCTTCTCACACAGACTCCTAGGATAGTTCGACTTATCTCGCACAACTACAAAATATTTCACGAAATAATGCTATACTCTTATTGAACTAACAACACTCTCGAGAGCCATGCCAAAAATACTAAAGAAACATCATCACAACAGTATATCTCAGATAAAAATAAAACAAGTGAGTTTATTTGCTATTTATTTATAAATATCATAACACAACACAAATATTCACATGATTATCACCATTTGTACATTCCTCATTGGTCTAAATTTCATTTTAGCACCCATGGCTTCTTTCGTTGTTGATTACGACGAACAAATTCCTGGATTTTCAGTACATAGCCGTTTTCCATTCTCCTTTCTTTCATATGCAGTGTAGTGAGTGTCTACAAAAAAAAATTAGACATGAAAACATCTGGTAGATGAAGGATAAATGTAAGCTACCGTATTATGTTGTAATGCATCAGCCAAATGTTGTGCTCCAACATCTCCGATTTGATTATAAAAGAGATGCAGCGTGGTTAGGGTCTAGATGAAAAGCTTAGATAAAAACATCATAAAGATGAAGAGAGAATGAAAATTACCGTATTATGTCGTAATGCATCTCCCAAATGTTGTGCTCCAAGATCTCCGATTTGATTATCTCGAAGATTCAGTGTAGTGAGTGTCTAGATGAGAAAGGAGACGGAAACACATGGTACTGGTAAAGAGAGAATGAGAATTACTCTATTATGTCGTAATGCATTCCCCAAATGTTTTGCACCAACATGTTCGATTTGATTATCATAAAGATATAGTATGGTGAGTGCCTACATGAAAAGTGTACGTAATAGCATTATAAATATGAACAAACAGTGGCGGATTTAGGGGAGTAGGGCGATGTGGGTGGTCGCCTCCTTCCGTTTCCGAATTTTTTTTTATTTTTTACAAAAAAATGAACCAAAAAATAGGTTCACACTACTTCAGTTGGGCTCAAAAAATAGCTTTTAACCAAAATCGCTGCCCCCCTCTGCAGGTATCGCCCCTCCATACGCAAAAACCAAATCTCCCCCCCCCCCCCTTCCAAAGTCCTAGATCCGCCACTATGAAGAGAGAACGAAAATTACTGTGTTATGTCGTAATGCATCAGCCAAATATTCTGCTCCAGCATCTCCGATTCGATTATGTCCAAGATCCAGTTGAGTGAGTGTCTAGATGAAAAAGTAAAGGGAAGGCATGGTATAGATGAAAAGAGAATCAAAAATACCGTGTTATGTCGTAATGCATCAGCCAAATATTGTGCTCCAACATCTCCGATTTCATTAAATCCAAGAATCAATTTAGTGAGTATCTAGATGAAAAGTTTACATAAAAAGATCATAAACATGAAAAGAGAATGAAAACTACCGTGTTATGTTGTAATGCATCAGCCAGATGTTCTGCTCCGACATATTCGATTTTATGCCATGTAATATTCACTGTAGTGAGTGTCTGGATGATAAGAGAAAATAAACAGATGATATAAATAAAGAATGAATGACTATTACTGTGTTGTTTCGTAGTACATTAGCCAAATGTTGTGCTCCAACATCTCCGATTTCTTTCCATCCTAGATAGAGTGTCGTAAGTGTCTAGATGAAAAAGTGAAGGTAATGACAAAATATAAATATGAAGATACCATGGTGTATGTCTTTTTCTCATTGCTTACTACGGAAATGAAGGCTCATCTCATTGTGTTGACGGGTATGTGGATATGAGCATGAAAGTTTCTATATGATCGGGCATGTTCTACTGTTCTAAAAATACCACTATAAAACTTTGATAAAAGAGAAGTTAGCGAGAGTGACGATTGTATAGAAGTTGTTTATCTGCAAGTTCTATTAACTGTAAAATATTTATACTAGAAAGACATTGTAATAACCAACGTATTACTTTGAGTGTGAAGCATAGTTTATTCAGATAGATTTCATCAAAGTGATTCTGTTTAACTATTGATTATACGAATGAAAAATAATTTGAGAGTCAACAAAAGAAAATTAGATTTTGATGATAAAAACAAGTTTACCTTATTATATCGATAATAGCTAACAATGATGTTGTTGAAGCGTGGACACACATTTAACAATGAACAAAAAATCGTATTTTCGTCTAGATAATTCAGAATTTGGTGGACAACTTCTACCGGTAACATAAGAAAAGTAATGATACTTTGATTCGGCATTATAAACTAGTGCTGAAATATATGTTGTATAATCTTTTATACGAGTTATATGATATGTGTAGAGATATTAGCGGATTGGTTAAGCTATTGTCGCCGATTTTCTCCTAGAAAACACAGCGGCGGCCGTCGAGACGCGAAAAAAATTGTATACTTTTGAGACGCCGCCGTCGGTAAGCGAGAAAATTTTTGCAATTTTTGAGTTGCAGTCGATGACGTCTATCTGAGTGAAAATCAAATTTTCGTTTTTTTATAATGATCTTTATTTTACTTGCGATATCGTTAATAATTCTCTGCTTATCTTTGCATTTCGTGTTGTACATATAATATGAAAGAACATGACAGTTGTTATTTATACTTATTTTGAACAGATTATGACTGAGATATTGTAATAAAGATATTTTTCAATCTGGAAAAAAATTTTCTTTTCATAACTTTTCCAGTCGCCGCCACCGCCGATCAACTAATGGCTTGCACTTATAATAACACAATCGTGAGAGCAACTGTAGTCAATGTTTTCATGATGACTTTTGTTAACGACATAAAATGGTATACACTAGACATGAATATTGTAGTCTTAGTTATAATCAGTGAAGTTTACATGACACTAAATGAATATCTTATTTTAGATATGAAAGTCTTTTTAAATGTGATTGTTTACAAAAGTATTTATTTTACAAAATCGAAAAAACGTATGCCTACTCTTGTCGAAGGAAAAACAATATGAAAAGTGAAAGTGTTACAAATTCTATTTAGTATGAAATATTAAAACAAATCTTCATTAAAGAACCAAAATTTTGTATCAATTATTGGTATAGTTTTATATATATTTGTTTTTGATTATACGCTGCGAATAATTTCGTTTAAATCTTCTATCTTGAGAGTACGAGTATTGCTGTATCATACCTATTCTATACAACCACACCCTCAAGATGCTTCGCCAAAAGTGGATAGAATCTGTAAATTTTGCGCTTCTCATACAGACTCCTAGGATAGTTCGACTTTTCTCGCACGACTACAAAATATTTCACGAAATAATGCTATACTCTTATTGAACTAACAACACTCTCGAGAGCCATGCCAAAAATACTAAAGAAACATCATCACAACAGTATATCTCAGATAAAAATAAAACAAGTGAGTTTATTTGCTATTTATTTAAATATCATAACACAACACAAATATTCACATGATTATCACCATTTGTACATTCCTCATTGGTCTAAATTTCATTTTAGCACCCATGGCTTCTTTCGTTGTTGATTACGACGAACAAATTCCTGGATTTTCAGTACATAGCCGTTAGCCATTCCCCTTTCTTTCATATGCAGTGTAGTGAGTGTCTAGAAAAAAAATTAGACATGAAAACATCTGGTAGATGAAGGATAAATGTAAGCTACCGTATTATGTTGTAATGCATCAGCCAAATGTTGTGCTCCAACATCTCCGATTTGATTATAAAAGAGATGCAGCGTGGTTAGGGTCTAGACGAAAAGCTTAGATAAAAATGTCATAAAGATGAAGAGAGAATGAAAATTACCGTATTATGTCGTAATGCATCTCCCAAATGTTGTGCTCCAAGATCTCCGATTTGATTATCTCGAAGATTCAGTGTAGTGAGTGTCTAGATGAGAAAGGAGACGGAAACACATGGTACTGGTAAAGAGAGAATGAGAATTACTCTATTATGTCGTAACGCATTCCCCAAATGTTTTGCACCAACATGTTCGATTTGATTATCATAAAGATATAGTATGGTGAGTGCCTACATGAAAAGTGTACGTAAGAACATCATAAATATGAAGAGAGAATGAAAATTACCGTATTATGTCGTAATGCATCAGCCAAGTATTCTCCTCCAGCATCCCCGATTTGATTAAATCCAAGATCCAGTTGAGTGAGTGTCTAAATGAAAAAGTGAAGGGCAATACATGGTATAGATGAAGAGAGAATGAAAGTTACCATATTATGTCGTAATGCATTAGCAAAATATTGTGCTCCAACATCTCCCATCTTATTATATCCAAGTAACAATGTAGTGAGTGTCTAGATGAAAAGTGTACGTAAAAACATTATAAATATGAAGAGAGAATGAAAACTACCGTGTTATGTTGTAATGCATCAGCCAGATGTTCTGCTCCGACATATTCGATTTTATGCCATGCAAGATTCAGTGTAGTGAGTGTCTGGATGAACGGAGAAAATAAATAAATGATAGATATATAAAGAATGAATGAGTATTACCGTGTTGTTTCGTAATATATAACCGAAATGTTGTGCTCTAAGATCTCCGAATCTGTTCCATCCGAGATATAGTGTGGTAAGTACCTAGATGAAAAAGGATGAAGATATCGTGGTATATGTTTTATTCTGTTTGTTTATTATGGAAATGAAGGTTGCTCTCACTGTATTGAAGGATATATGGATATGAGTATGAAAGTTTCTATGATCAGGCATGTTGTACTGTCTTTAAAAGGATCGCCTTAAAAATTCTGTTAAAGAGACGTTATCGAAAGTGGTGGGTGTATAGAAATTATTCATTTAGAAGTTATATTAATTATGAAATATTTATATGAGATTGAAAAGAAACAAAAAAAGGAAATTATTTTCGTACTGTCATAATACAGAAAATGAAGTCTTGGCAAGGATTTTAATAACTAATGAATTGGCTTCAGTGACACATAATCTATCCAGATAATTTCTATTGATTGATTTTACTTAACTCTTGATTATAGGAATGAAAAATAATTCGAAAGTGAAGAAAAGAAAATCAGATTTTCATGATAAAAACAAGTTTACCTGAGGTCGATATCGATAATAGCTGACAATGATGCCGTTGAAGCGTTCACACACATTTGTCATTGAACAAAAAATCGTCTTTTCGTCTAGATAAGTCAGAATTTGGTAGACAAGTTCTACCGGCAACATAGGAAAAGTGGTGATACTTTGATTGGGCATTGTAAACTACTGCTGAAATGCATGTTGTACAACCTTATATATCAGTTATATGATATGTGTAGAGATGGAAGCCGATTGATTAAGCGATCGCCGCCGATTATCTCCTAAAAAACACAGCCGCGGTCGTCGACAGATGAAAATAATTGTATACTTTTGAGACGCCGCCGCCGGTAAGCGAGAAAAATTTGTAAAAATTCGAGTTGCAGCCGATGACATCTATCTGAGTAAAAATCAAATTTTCGTTCATTTATAATGATCTTTATTTAACTAGCACTATTGTTGATGATTGTCTGCTGATCTTAATTTGATTTTGTTTTAAGCCGCCGCCGCCGATCGACTCATGGGCTTGCACTTCTAATAACAGAAGCATGAGAATAACTGTAGTCAATGTTTTCATTACGACTTTTGTCAACGACATAAAATGATATACACTAGGTATAAATATTGTATTCTTAGTTATAATCAGTGAAGTTTATATGAGACTAAATGAATATTTTGGTTTGAGTTATGGAATCTTTTTCGAATACGATTGTTTCCAAAAGTATTTATTTTACAAAATAGAAAAAACGTATGCCTATGTTTATCGGAGAAAGACAACATTAAAGTGGAAAAAGTTATAAATTTTGTTTAATTTGAAATACGAAGACAAATCTTCATCATAAAACTAAAATTTTGTATCAATTATTTGTAGAGTTTCATTTATATTTGTTTTTTGGTTATATATGGAGTGATTTCGTTTATATCTTCTATCCTGAGGTTGCGAATGTTGCTGTATCACACATATCCTATTTAATTTATTTTATCAGCACTTTCTTGACACATTACGAAAGAAAATAATATCAGAAAACTCTATTATGTCTAATGATATAATATTTAACTTTTTCAAATGTTTAGATTGATTATATTTATTTTATTCAATTGATTTCATTTTTTTATTTATTGAATAATAATGATTAAGAGTGATTTTACAATCAAACAACGAAAGAAAGAAGAAACAGAATATTGAAGTTGTTGTTGATATTTAACTCTGCCATCTAATTCTGTGTGATATTATACGATAAAATACATTCACCAATGGAAAAGTTTCTGTCATTGTTATCGCCCGTAATGTATTCTATATCTGAAATGATTTTTATCCTTGTTCATAAATGGATGAAATTACAAAAAACTTGATATGCACTGAAAAACCTATTCTTTTAGACTCTTCTACTGACAGTCAGTATGTGATTATCGACTGGTATTTACAACAACATGGTAGTTTTAGTAGTGGACGTCGATCACGAGATATTTCTTTAACAGAATTTTCTTCGACTCAACAATTAATAGAATATTTAATTAATTATATTGAAAAAAATTATCAACATGTCAATATTAATGATAGAGACTATCACCTTATTGATCTTTGTCGAATAGCTTTTGAAGAATCAAAACAATTTTTAATTTCTAATAAAAATGAAGTCTCTCGAGTAACTAGTCGACATATATGGCCACCAAATCATAAATTGTTATTAGGCTGTTTAATAAATGCGTATATTGTTAGTACAACTGATAAAGAACAAGAAAATACGAATAAGAATTATTGTTTAATTACTCAATTAGGTAATTATCCTACACATGTCAAATTTGTTCGTGGTAGTTATAGTTTACGAGAAGAAATTTTCGAAAGATTTAAACATCCATTTCAAACTAATTTTGAACCATCACAAAAACAAATCGATTTATTTATTGAGAAAAGTCAAATATTAGCAATACAACAATTTTGTCATTATATAACAACTCAACAATGGCACGATCTTGATAGTGAGTTCTCTGGTGTTCTTGTAGATTTTATTATTGTGGGAGATCCATTTTTATTTAACTAAGAAACATTCATTTTCTAATATTTCATTTGTATAAGAACATTTTTAAAGTTTTACCTTTCTATAGAAAATATAATTTTAAGAGCTCTTTTATTTGACTATCAACAATAGACAAAATTCACCGTTCTTTTCTGTTTGTTACTGATAAATATTTCTGTTGATATCTTTCATATTTCGTGACACGTGTTAAGCAAATACAACAGTCTAAAATCATCTACTGATAAAAAGAACACGTCTTGTTGTAGTATAAAACAATAAAATAGTCTGATTTATTCATAACTATTTCGTTTTTTTTTAAATTATTTAATATGAACGACGTTATTCAACTAACAATGAGTGATATAACTACAAATGATACCGAACACGCATTGGTCTCCTCCACAGATACTACTACATGTCATCGTGTTAATCTTCAAAAAGTTGATAATGTTCTTGTGATCTGGTTAGGTAATAATATCGATGAAAACAACGAAAATTATCGTAATATGATTTCTCAATTACGTTCGATTGTTAACAACATTAACATATTCACAGATAGTGATCAATGTATTCAATTTATGAATACCATCACTAACATCAAAGTATGTTTGATTATTTCAGGTTCATTGGAACAATATATATTACCACGAGTGCATAGTCTGTCTCAAATAGATTCAATCTTTATTATGTATGAAGAGAAAATACAAGATATACAATGGGTCAAAGAATGGTCCAAGATTAAAGGTGTCTTCACTGATATATCACCGATCTGCGAGGCTCTCAAACAAGTCGTTCAATTATGTGAACAAAATGCCATGTCAATTACTTTCCTGGCTATGAATACTGACGATGATATTAGTAAAAAGTGGGATCAATTAGATACATCTTTTATGTACACCTATGCTCTTACAGAGATATTATTATCGATCAATTTCGAAGAAAAACATATCAAAGAATTTATTGATTATTGTCGTAATATTTTCATCGACAATACTTGTAAATTAAACAATATAATGATATTTGAACAAACATATAGTGAGAAAACACCTATTTGGTGGTATACTTATGAAGGTTTTTTGCAGTCCATGCTTAGTCGTGCAGTACGATTATTAGATGTGGATATTCTTATACGAATGGGTTTTTTTATTCGCGATCTTCATCGACATATTCAACAACTACATTCAGAGCAAATTAAAACAACTGATTCTGATAAATCGTTTACAGTCTATCGTGGACAAGGTTTATCTCTAACAGATGTCGAGAAAATGATAAAAGCCAAGAATGGATTGATTTCCTTTAATAATTTTTTATCTACTAGTAAGAGTCGATCAAATGCACTTCGTTTTGCACTTGAGGCTGCAAAAAACCCTGATTTAGTCGGAATTCTTTTTATTATGGATATTGATTCATCTCAATCGACAACTTGTTTCGCTTCTATTACTGACGTCAGCTATCAACATGATGAAAATGACATTCTATTCTCAATGCATACTATATTTCGTATTGTTGATATTAAACCTATGGATGGACATAATCGTCGTTACGAGATAAAGTTAACGCTTACTAGTGACAATGACAAAGATCTGACTTTGCTTACTAATCGCATTAGAGATGAGACTTATTCAAACTCAACAGGATGGCACAAATTAGCTGAAATACTACTTAAAATGGGTGAATATACTAAAGTCGAAAATATTTATAAAATGCTATATGATGAGACAACAGATGAGAGTCAAAAAGCATATATTTATCATCAACTGGGATTTGCCAAAGATGAACAAGGAATATATCAAGAAGCAGTAGTATATTATGAAAAATCAATTGATATCAAAGAAAAAATTCTTCCTTCCAATCATCTTAGTTTGGCTACTTCATATAATAATATCGGTCAAACATTCTATCATATGGCTGATTATTCGAAAGCACTTTTATTTTTTGAAAAAGCTCTTGAAATTCGATTACAAGCACTTCCTGAAAATCATTCTGGTATAACTGACTGTTACCAGAACATAGGTCTAGTACATTACAATATGGGCGACTATATGAAAGCACTTTCATGTATTGAAAAGGCTCTTGAAGTTCAAAAGACATCGCTTCTACATAATCATCCTGATCTGGCTTATTATTATAATAATATTGGTGAAATATATCGTAAGATGGATAAATACCCAGAAGCATTATCATCTCATGAAAAAGCGTTAGAAATTCGACAACAATCACTTTCTTCAAATCATCTTGATTTAAGTATGTCCTATAACAATATCGGTATGATACATTACAATACAGGTGATTATTTGAATGCAATTTCATTTTTGGAAAAATCGCTTAAAATTCGACAACAATCACTTCCTTCGATTCATCTACAATTAGCTTACTCTTATAACAATCTCGGTGCTGCATATTATCATATAGGTGATTATGAGAAGGCATTACCAATGTATCAAAAAGCGCTAGAAATCCGACAACAAGCACTTCCTGCACATCATGTTGATCTATGTGCATCATATAACAATGTTGGTATAGTGTATTATATATTAGGTGATTTTATGAAAGCACTTTCGTCTTATGAAAAAGCACTTGAGATTCGACAACAATCATTACCTTCGAATCATCTTGATTTAGCCTCTTCTTACAATAACATAGGTGGTGCGTGTTGTGGTATAGGTGATTATTCAAAAGCACTTTTATATCATAAAAAAGCACTTGAAATTCGACAAGAAAAACTTTCTCCAAATCATCCTGATTTTTCCGTATCCTTCAACAATATTGGTATGACGTATTACCATATGGGTGATTATTCCAAAGCATTTCCATGTTGTCAACGTGCTGTTGATATTGGACAACGTTCATTACCAGCAGATGATACTGATCTTTTAGTGAGCATGACGAATCTTGAAAATATAAGAATGAAATTGTAGCTGTTATTACTTTTGTTCGAAAAATATTTAATAAATAGTTTGTAACACGTGAATACGAACACTTCAATAATTGAGTGAAGAGCGTGCCAATTGTACCGTTTGGGTGAAAAACTCGAGAAAAAATAAATTTCATGATCGAGTAAAAGTAACTATTCTGTTGAATAGAGCAGTGTCGACTGTGTATAAAAATCATATTTTCTCTACACTTCTATGTTATACGGCCTAGATTCACTATTTTACAGCCAATTTTTATGATTTTGATATCGCTCTACATTTTCACAGTAAAATTAAATTTTCTGTTGAATAAAAACAGATTTTCGATCGATTTTTTTCTTATTTAATTGTGCACTTAAAGCTGAAAAAAGGGTAAAATTTTCATAGCAAACGGTTTAATTTTGAACGATATAGAAAGCTAACAAAATACAAAATCTTGTCCTACATTTAGTGTGAAAGTCGCTGTTTTATACCATTCCTTTGAATTTTTTTCATTACTATAGTTTTTGATGTAATTGTTTTATTTCTCAAAAAGTTTTCCCCCCGATCCTCTTTCATATGCAATCAAATTTTTACCAATTAAATCGTCTAAAATAGGGAATCAATGATTTTAATCTCGCCCTACAAAAAAACTCAAAGTGTCTCAATACACATTGTGGACGTCTTTTTTGTTTCTAATACTTTATCTAAACTGAAAACTAATAATATATTCTGAAAGCACTTGTTGAGCTCTACAATACCAGCTAATAAAATAATTCTAAAAAGAAATATAATGGGCCAAAAAAAATTGATCCCCTTCTGAGAGTTACGATAAGAGCTAGAAACTTAATTCGTTTCAGAAGTAAACGGGCATCTCTAGAGCTACAAAACAATGAAAACTCATCAAAATTGATTGAGCAGAACCCGAGTTATGAGCATTTTTCTGTCCGAAATCAAAGGGTACAAATGGCGCGCTCTTCACTCATATACGTATATAAATATAACTCTATTACTTACCGTCTTTTCCAAATATCTCTTTATTGATTTAGTTATTACCAATGCATGCTATATAATGGAATCGTGCATATAATTAAAATAATATAGAGTGATTCAATATATAAAGCATTAAATTTTCTTAATAAAATCGGTATATAATCATTATTTGTGTAACTCATATTCTATGAGAATTCAATGAAATAACCTTTGTACTACTCGTTAGATGTCCTTCTTGTCTAAACAAATTGAGAAAAATAATCTGATTGGTGAAATATTATCATGTAATTTTTTTTCGACTTGCTAAAGATTGATCATTCATTCATTCTTTATTTTCAATAGAATTATATTCATTAACAATGGGTAAAAAACAACATCAACAAGATAAACTTTATCTTACAACAACCGTAAATTTTATTACTATTTGATTTTTCTTTATTTAATTATATATTTATTATTTAGGAATGGAAAAATTCTTTTGGTGGATTTAAAGGAGCAACAAAAGCGAATGCTGATTTTCGTCGTTTACCATTTAATTGTTGTAGTATTTCATTTCTACCTGTTGAAAATCCTTATTGTACACCTGATGGTGTCATATATGATATTACATCTATCGTTCCATTTCTTAAAAAATTCGGTAAGAAAAAAATCATTCGAATTTCAATCTATTCTTTGTTTTTTCTAAATAGGTCGTCATCCTGTAACTGGTGAAAAACTTGAAGCTAAACAATTAGTAAAATTAAATTTTCATAAAAATGCCAAAGATGAAATCCACTGTCCAATAACATTTAAAGTTCTTACTGAAAGTTCACATATTGTTGCTATACGACCATCTGGTAATGTTTATAGTTATGATGCTATTGAACGTTTAAATATTAAAACAAATACATTTACTGATCTATTAACAAATGAACCATTTACACGTGATGATATAATTACAATACAAGATCCAAAAAATTTAGATAAATTTAATATTCAATCATTTGCACATTTAAAAAATGAATGGAAATTAGATGATGAAGATGAAAAAGCACGTCGAAATGATTCAAATTATTTTTTAAAATATATCAATAATGAAACAGCGGCAACACTTGAACAAATGAAAAGTGGACCATCAAAAGAATTTCTTGAAAAATCTGAAACAAGTATTTATTCAAGTAAACAAATCAAATCAAGTCAACAACAATTAGATCAAACAAATATGGCAACATATTCAACAGGACGTTTATCATCCGCATTTACATCAACATCAATGGATCCAGTAACGAATATGGAAGCTGCCGTACGTGATGAAAATGAAATACGTTATACAAGAATTAAAAATGGAAAAAAGAAAGGTTATGCACGTTTAGTAACAAATGTAGGTGTAATTAATATCGAACTTGATTGTGATTTATGCCCACAAACATGTGACAATTTTATTAAACATTGCGCAGATAAATATTATGTTGGAAGTAAATTTCATCGTTCAATTAAAAATTTTATTGTAAGTTGAAATTAAATGTAAACATGTAGGATTGAAATTTAAGTTTAGATTCAAGGTGGTGATCCAACAGGAACGGGTTCTGGTGGAAAATCTATATGGGGTAAACCATTTCGTGATGAATGTAATTCAAAATTACAACATACTGGACGAGGTATGTTGAGTATGGCTAATTCAGGACCACATACAAATAAATCTCAATTGTAAGTAGTTGATGATTTTAATCAAATAGAAAAAGATTATTTTGTTATTTTAGTTTTTTTACTTATCGTTCATGTAAGAGTTTAAATGGTAAACATACAGTTTTTGGAAGGTAAGGATCAGTTGAAAAAGAAAATTATTTTATTGATCTTTGTATCTATAGAATTGTTGGTGGTATTGATACACTTAGTACAATGGAAGCAATACCAACTGATGCTAAAGATCGACCACAAGTAAGAAGATTTTTCTAGAAGAAAATAAATTATTTAATTTTGATTTATTTTAGAGTGATATTATAATTGAAGATACAATTGTATTTGTTAATCCATATGATGAAGTTGATGCACAAGTAATAAATTTTTTTTCTTAATAAATTTCTTTATTTTTCGTAAATTTAGTTAAAATCTGAACGTGAACGACAAGATAAACGAGAAGCAGAAGAACAAAGAGTGAATTCTACAGTTCGTTCAGTAAAATCAACTGCAGTAGCAACAACAACGAAATCTTCTACTGATCCACCCGCAAATCAAGTATTTCGATCAGGTGTTGGAAAATATATACCAAATCAAGTCTAGTAAGTTTTTAACAATAATATTGATTTAATTTCGTTTTTAATTAGTTCAAGTGCTAAACAAGTTGCATCAACTACTGATGACGATAATGAATATATACAAAAGAAGAAACGAAAATTAGCAGCGACTAGTTCAGGTGGAACACTTAATTTCAATCAATGGTGATGATAATTATCATCACATTTCTTTTTTCTTTGTGTTGTAATGAAAACGTTTTGTTTTTTTTTTGTCTGTAACGGTTTTGAATATATATGACGTTCATCGATGTATCTCTTGAATTTATTCTTATACCTATGTAATTCATTTCAGAGTTGTATAATTATTATGGCTGGTGTGGCCAACAATATACAGGTATCTATTTTTCTATTTTTCAAAATTGATTATATATGTATATTTTTTTATGAATAGAAAATTTTACGTCATCATGTTCCAATGATTCGATTTAAATACGGTGTGAATCATTCAGGTATGAATTCATGTTTGAAAAAAAATATCTATTGATAAAATAATTGAAAAATAGATTCAACTAATCATGCACCGAAAGAAAATAAAAGTGAATCTAATACAGCTAAAACAAGTGGTGCTACTACTTCATCACAATCAAAAATTAGTCAAAAATCAGGCTCACTTGAATTTTCTCAAATACCTAATAAATATCGACGACGTCAATTAACACAAGAAGAAATCGATCTTGTTACAGTAAACAAAAATCTATTTCATTATTTAAATTATCTTGTTTTTTTTTCTTTAGATTGGTGGATCTACTTAATTATGATTTCTTAAAGACATATTAATTAGAAAAATAGACAATCCCAATATATTCTATATTTATGTGTGTGTATTTTCTTTCTTTTCCAAAATAAAACAAAAACGAACATAAGAAAATTTTTATCGAAAATGACCTCGACGTTTTCCAGCACGTTTATCTTTTGAACTTGTAGGAAATACATTAAATGCACTTTTTAAACATTCTGCTGGTTTCCAATTATCTAATCGATGAACTTCATTAATACTTTCATCATATTCACGTTTTCGTTCTTTTTCTTCAAATTCTTTATCATCAATAACATGAAGGGTTTCATTTTTCATTGGTATAAATGTTTTATTCAGTTCGTCAACACTTTTCATATGTCCAAAATTAATTGCAGGTAATGTTGAACCAAGTTTATGAAAATCCGGTTCAAATTCAACTCGACGATAACTTTTATCACCATCAGATCTTTTTGGAAGACCATTACGTACATCATATACTTTTCTTTTATGTCCAATTTGTGTCATATGTACATTTTCATCACCTAAATCTTCTATTGAACGAAGATGTATATTAGCAAAAAGATTTCGTTTTGCTGGACGATGATCAGGAGATTCATCAGTAAAATATGTCCATTCATTTGTTGAACGTTGATAATTTTGAGGATATGCACGTACAAAATGTAGATTTTGTTCAATAATACTAACTGGTAATGTAGGTTTGGCATCTGGATTATGTGGAGATCTTATATAACGTAAACGAGAATGCCAATCAGGTCCAACACTTTAATAAAATTCAGAATGTAAATAGAAAATCTATATAAGAACAAAAACAAATCGAGCACTATAAGCCTTTTTTATTCAATACTTACTTTGAATAATGTGGTCGGATATTTCTTCCATGTGGACGCCATTTTTCATCTTCTAATGGAGGTGATGGTATATGAGCACGCCCTCTTGGTTTATACACAGATTCACTAAAACTAAAACGATGTTTCTCAGGATAATGTCGACGATCAAGTCCTAATTGAAACAATAGTAAAATAACAAGATTTTAAATACTAGACTTTCTCACCATGATAACCAGGTTTTTCTATATCATAATGAAGATGTAATGTTGCTGAATTTGTTTTATGAAACATAATGTTATATTCTATGTAGGCTAAATGATTCGTTCTTTTTCTGTTGCTATTGTTGCTGTTGATAAGGTGTCCATTAACTGCTTTTAAAATAAAGAAAATAAGAAAAAAAAAATGTCTTTTCATTTTTTACTTTACAAATAGTTGCACATCGCATGTCCAATGATGATTGATTTCTTCTCGTTCTCTCCGACGTAATAGACTCACATCCGGCCATTATAATGTAAATTTTTTTTCAACGCGATGTGTATGCAGAATTATAATGGCACTTTAATTTTAACGGGTAGTAAAGTGTAGAAAGAAAATGTTTATGCATACTTAACGAATGTGCGAGAAACATTTAACAAATTTTTTAATCTATCGTCATTGAGTTTCATGTTTGAATTCAATTTGAAATCAGTAGATTGTTTTCATAAGATGAATAAATATTAAATACCCTTATCACACTAATTGCATGATTGCTTCATCTGCTTTTGTGTAAACTTGATTGTAAAAACAAATTTTACAATTCCTGATTTTCGGATATATACTGCTACAACCTCTGTGAATGTTACTAACGACTCATCTGAATTCTTTCATTTTTATTCTTATATCTACCATAGTCATTTTGACTCATGCAAGTGATGTCGCTCGGTTTGTTTTGTTGTGTAATTATAATATATTTTTATCTAGAATTTGTTCTAATTTATAAATATTAGAAAGTTCTTTTTTCAAAAATTGTCGAAGATGACGACTATGGATTTCGATGTTGTTATTATAGGAGCAGGTGCTATCGAATTACAAAAACAAATTTATCTTTTATTGTATTAGACGCTTGTAATTATATCGGTGGTCGAGCATTTACTGATCGTGAAACATTTATTTCCACACCAGTCGATTTTGGTGCTAGTTGGAGTCATTCCTTTGGTTCAAGAAATCCATTGTATGATTATTATCAAAGATTAGGAAAAGATGTTCAATTTGATTATGATGGTCGACCACTACTACCATGTGCTCGTCAACGTGCACAGTTAGTATTATCAAGATTATATGATCATTTAGACGAGTTTGCTTATAACAACCGTGACGGTGATAATCAAAGTATTGAACAAGTTATTCAGGCAGTCTATGAGCAATTAATTGAATCTGATGAACAAGTAAACGAATTATTGATCTTCCTCTGTCTGGTATGAAATATTATGAAGGATCCAATCTAAATAATCTATCAGCTAAATATTGGGACACAGGTGGTGACTGTTGGATGTGGGTGTGAAAATGTGGATATGCGTGTGGATGTGATAAATAATATACACCAACGCCCACATTTACCCCACACCCATTTCATCTTCGAAGAAAACTTTCATTTCTTACTCTTTGATTATCTAAGATCTATAAAACCAAGCACCAGTGTGGATCAAACTACTATCTTATTCAGATAATTATTCATCCAATAGAAATTCTTTTCACAAAAATGAGCTGCCTACAGTGAATATCAATCATCATCAATGATAAATGCATCAATTTTATTTTATTTTATTTAACAGAAAAATAGACAAAAACACATTGATCAATGTATTTTATGTTTTAATATCATAGATTTAATAAAAATGAACATTTTCTGTTAGAAAAAAACAAGCTTTGCTATATTATACAAAAGGAAAAAAAGATCAATATTCTGAAAATGGTCGAATAGGTTCTGAACGAAGTATACAAAAACAAAACAAAACGAAACTGAATACAATATGAAATCATATATAGACAGGCGCCTAAAAAGATAAGAGATGAGGAGAAAAAGCTGCTGATGGTTTGATGATGAATATAATTCATATGAACATAAGTCAATGACGTACTTATGTCATGCTAAGAAATGCTCATGTGCAATTGATGAAGTGCTTTTATATGTATAGATAAATAATATATATAAATGATCGATGAAAGAAAACTTACTTTTGAAAAGGCATTAGAATAACACGCTCATTAAATTAATCATCAATCATGTTTTGTTTTTTTCTTTAAGATTTGGCTTCCATTTTCGAGTCACTTCATATAAATAAAGAAGAAAATTCCCCTGACTAAAAACTCTTTGAGAGTGGGTGTTGGTGTGGGTCTGCATATCTGGTATACATGAAAATCATATCAACACCAACACACGTACTCATCGTCCGTTAAAATGCATCGCATCCTAATATACGAAGTTATGAGTGTTAGGGAAAAAAGTGAGTGGGAATGCCTTCGTTAAAGAGAATGAATATTGACATATAAAGTGATGTATGTTAGAAAAAAAGAAAAAAGTAAGTTTTACCTCAGTTTTAATATATATGTAGACACACACATAGCCTTGTCAGTGAGGAAAAAATGGAGAAGGCAAATACTTTTTCAGATTTTCTTGCTTAAATGCTTGTATATTATCTTGAAGGCTTCTATATTGAGCGTCATTTTCTTTGATTTCTATGTTATTTGCTATTTTCGTTTGTGCTTACGAAAGATCATTAATTACAACGATGTATTTGCATTATTATTATATGAATTGAGGACATTTTCTTTTTTTTCAATAGAAAAATCTTTTATTTTAAAGGTATAATATAATCTTTATTGTTTCAGATAGTTTTTATGTAATATCAAAGTAATTGTATTTTATAAGAGACAAATTCTATGCAGTGAAAGTTTTTTTATATCATCTTTTTCCGAATGCTTTTAGATTTAATTTCATAACATTGCAAGATTTTTGACGAAGGTTTACGAATGGAAAAACAAAATAGAATACGTGTTTGTGATATAATGTATTATAGGAAAAAAACAGAAATTAACTTATTTTTTTCTTTACTTTGTAGCCTCAGTCAGTTAACAGCGATACAGGTGAAACACAACCTACACAATCGACAAGACCGTACGTGTATTCTGAGCTTGAATAAATTAAAAAGAAAATTATTTTAGATGTGTGTGCATTCGAAGTAAATTGACATGGATCATATTTACTATTGTGATCATAGCGATCATTACTATTGCAACTGCTATTATTCTCGCGAAAAAGAGAAGCGCTGTTGAAAAACATTTAACAACAACAATAATGATGACAACAGGAGAAGGGTCAACAACATTAATGTTAGCAACCACAAAATCATCGACAACAACAAAAAACCCATTCACAACAACAACAACAACAACTACAGAACGATCATCAACAATAACAACAGTAGAATCAGGTTCAATAACAACAGAACCAGGTATGTCCGTGTTCAAACAGAGGTAGAAAGAAGTTGATCAATTACTTACAATAACTTATAACAAGCGATTCAATGAAAAAACATTGATCATATATTATTAGTTAATTCTTACTAGTCTAATCTGATGGAAACTACAGACGTTTCATTATTTTTATTATTCTTTATCAGAAAGAATAAATATAGAAACTCTTTATTTTTATAAAATAAAGAAATTTATTTTCTAGAAAATTCTGTTTTTTTTCAGATTTTTTCAATGTAACTTACAAAAAAAGCCAGATACCATAGATACAAATAAAATATCTGAAAAAGTTTTTCCCTATATTTTTTCAAGTATTATCGTTATTTTTTTTTGTAATATCACATGAAGATGTGAGCGTGATGATAAGAAAGAATATCGATTAATATGTCCTATTGCTATGCTAAGGATTTATCTCATAATCTACTATAGAAAGAAATCTTGTTTTTATTCTTTTTTTGGAATTATAAGGATTCTATTTATGTTTATTTGATAAGATAAAGATAAAGTAATTTGTCTAATTGAAAAAATATCAAAGATCATAGACTAACGGATGATGGTGTTTCTGATGATATTGTCTTTTTGTATGAGAATATGTTATTTATTAGTTTTTGTTATTTTGACTGTATTTAATTTGGTGTAAATAGAGTGCTCATTGTGACGTATGTCTATACCAAGCAAATCCAGATGGGTGTGGGTGGGGGTATGTGCATACTGTGTCTATGATATACACACCTACATTCTCACCCACACCCATCGTAGATAAGCTTTTAGTGAATACTTTTTCTCACTATATGTATCAACTATCTAACGTAAGTGTCTTTTAGATTGTTGTCTTTTACAATGATGAGAAATAGTAAGATTTCCAAAAATAAATAATTTTATAGATTTAACTGTAATCTAAACCCTCTGCTATAATAAACGACCCTCTACTGTAATAAGAGACTCCCCCCCCCCCCCATAAGAGAAGACCCTTTTGTGAAAATAACGTGAAATCCATAATAGAAGATCCGGGTCTTGAAATTAAAAAATAATTTTTAAGTTATTATTTTTTTTCATGAAATTATCTATATTATTGTGTGTACTGTGGAACAAAAGATACAGAAGAATTGAAAACATAGTAATAGCTCGGTTACGCACATCTATAATATGTTTTCTTCACATGAAAATAGACACAAATCGACTAATATTAAGAATAAGAGGAAAGAAACATTTAAAAACTTGCCTGAAATTTCATAAAATATTATATTGATTTTTGGCACTTTACGCTCACAAAATCGTATTAAAAGACCACCCCATAATAGAAGACCCCTTTAAAAGTTTGTACTACAAAATATAATAGTAGACCAGGTGATCTTTTATTACAGCAGGGCGTTTATTTAATAACCGACATTTCTTACTAACCAAGGGATGAAATTTGTCTTGATATTTTTATTTGTGTTCACTGATGGATTAGAACCTTACATTATCTTGTCGAAAGATTTAATTTTTTCGAGGATTCTATTCCCGTATTTCGATCCCATTAAAAGAAGAATTTATATCTAGTGTGCCTAAAGTAATGTTTTTAGAGTTAAAGTGAATGTAGATCTCGAACTTCCATTTCACCAAAATAGTACAAAGCTTCTGGGTCATTACTCAGCATAATAATAGTGTCGAGAAAAATGTCATTCCTTCACTGACGTGAGAGAAAACATTGCCCATTGCATAGGTCATAGTTAAATCTCACTATTTATCACTACTGTAAAAGACAGCATTCTAAAACATATCTGTATTAGATGGATGACATATTCAGAGAGAAAAAATACTCGTTATAAATTTATTTAAAATATATCTTTAGCAATAAGCAACATTCTCTATAACAATACAAAGTGTAGCGTTTTGTAGAGTATGCAAATATGAATCTTTTTGAAAAAGAAACAGATTCTCTAAACAAACGAAAATTGAAAGAAACAACATCAATATGTATCGGGACCCATTTCTTCTAGGCTGTATGTTCTAGTTAAATAAGTTACATTATTAGACGAAAGCGTCTTGGAAACAGTAGACAGAGTGAGAGGCGAGAACGAATATAAAGAGTAAGGCGAGACGGTATAGAAGTTGAATATTGTTATTCAGTATAGTACTACGAGAGTCACATATTGACACTCATTAGTTTGAATATTTAACCTTTTTTTCAATCTTATTCTACGCTGTATTATACATTAAATTATGAAAGTAGATCATATTTGGTAAGATAAAATCAAAAAGTCCATATGACATGCGTAAGTTTAGGTACATGCTTTATCATACATGACTCTTCTCTGAAGACGGCCGCAATCTATATAACCTTACATTATAATTGGATATGTTCTTTTTTGACAACGTAGATATGTATTTTTCTAATTACTCCTTCATAATATTTTCAAAATTAAAACCAAACATTTCATGTTCATCTACCTTAAATTCTTTTTTTCATAGCCACAGCTTGTACAGCAGGATGGAACGCGACCGGCACAACTGTGGCTGGTAATGCTGACGGTACAAGAGGAGTAAGCCCAAGTCTGCTCTACGGACCTTACGTTGTGAGACTTGATTCATCAAATGCTCTCTATATCGCTGACATGGATAACCATCGAATACAAAAATGGATCATAGGCGACTCTACAGGCACAACCGTTGCCGGTCAGGCAGATGGAACATCAGGTGCTTCCTCTACCAATCTTAATGCACCAGTCGATCTTGCAATCGATTCAAGCAACAACATGTACATCGCCGATAGATCCAATCATCGAGTTATCTTCTGGGCAAATGGTGCATCATCTGGTTCGATGATCGCTGGAACAGGTAACAAAAATGAAAAAAGTTTATTGGTTATTATACTCAGAACACTCTATTTGAGCTTGCTACCCATGAAACCATCAGAACATGATATACTTATTTCTGAAAATATGTCATAAAATAATTATTTCATAGCTTTGATCTTCAGCGACCATCCGTACTATTACTATAAAAACAGTTCAGAAACGTTTTCAAATGCTTTGACTTTGTTACAAATTGTCCTGTAAAATGAACACAGTGGAGAAAACATTTGTTTGTATTTAAGATTCGACATTTAGGTAAGAAAAGTCACCAAATTCACTTGTTATACATATATAGATGAGTAGATGAATAGTAGTTTAATACAGCATTAAAGACAATATTCTTTCACGGACGTATTCCTGTAATTTCAAGTAGCAAGGACTAGTGAATTATATACAAAATAAAGGCTCGTAAAAAATCAGATTTAGGAGTATAACTACTCAATCGTAAAATTAGAATTACGTGTACAATTACGGAAAGTTTCAAATTTTGAACATATACTGATCTTATGGAATATTTTCATCTTGCAGAGTTTGTAGAACTTTCTTTACTAATCATTTTTGTAAAAAAAGAGCTTTTATATTTGATCAAAAAATAGCGATGCTAGGATTCAAATGTTGACAGTGTCAAGTTTCTGTAAGTGATGAAGTTAAGTTTATGAGCATTTTGACTCTAACATCACTATTCATTGATTAAATATGACAGCTTTTGTATAAAAATGGTCAGCGAAGAAATCTCTACAAAGTCTGTAAAGCGAAAACATGTTATGATTACCTTGTGTTTTAGTAGCTGGCTGCGCATATCAGAATCCAGTTATGTGTCTAAAGTTTAGAACTTTCCGCAATTCTATATGTGATTCTCATTCTTCCAATGGACAGTTATACGCATGAATCTCGTTTTTTATGACGTTCACTTTTTGGTATATAAATCATAAGCCTTGCCATTTAAAATCACAATGATACCTTGGTGCAATAGTGGTGCCTCTAAGCCAAAACAATAGTAAAAATAATGTTTCATATATTGATACTTTCGTTTTGAGTAAATGAACAATAAATAAACTATTCCAACAACGTAGTCCTATTTTCAAACTAGATTTCATTATCAAAATAAAATAGATCAAAATGTAAGACTCAGAGAATTTTTTTCAGAAAATATCATTAAATTCGAATTGTCTTCAGGTTCCTCCGCTGGAAGTGCAAACAATCAGCTTAATGCTCCTAATGGGATCGAACGTGTTTCGAGTTCGGGCACTCTGTACATCAACGATCGATTGAATCAACGTATCATGCAATATCTTAGCGGTGAAACGTCAGGCACTGTAGTGGCTGGCGGTAATGGAGCAGGAACGGACAGCACACAGTTGTGGTATCCAGCCGGGTTTACTCTGGATTCATCGACGAATAGTTTAATAATTACTAATTATAATGCACATAGTGTAGTTCGTTGGGTGATAGGTGATACTAGTTGGACACTTCTAGCTGGCAGTAGTGGAGTAAGCGGATCTTCATCAACACTTTTAAATAATCCAATTGGTGTAGCAATTGATGAATATGGAAATATCTATGTAGCTGATTCAGGTAATCATCGCATTCAATTTTTTTTAGATGGTCAATCTAGCGCTAATACAATTGCCGGTATTACTGGTTCGTCCGGCACAAGTGCTACTCAATTAAATGGAC